GTCAGCCTCCCACATCTCCAGGACACTCTGCAGCCTATTCTCACAAGCAGGTTAAAACTTTCTTCAAGATGGTGTGACAGGAAAGTTTTAAAATCTGTGAATGGGTGGTAACGCCCTCCCTCTGTACAGTAAAGCTCCCACACCATTTTCATTAAAGTAGCATAATAATGTTATAGAAATGTGCTGTAACAGGGTAATGGGATTTTTTTGTTCTGACATTTATGATTTCATTGTAATTATAACCCAAAATGCTCTTTAAAAAAAGGAAATGTCAGGACAAATAACAGATTTCAGCCACGTAACACAGGGGCCCAGAAAAGTACCTGAGTGCCACCGGAGGTAGGTGGGGGCCGAGGCATCACTCCACTTCCACAGGGCCCCCAGGCGCAGACCGATCCACAGGTGCCAGCCATCCTCAGGAAAGGCACCTGTAAGTGGGGGGGGGGGCAGAACCAGCAGGAATGAGTCCCCTGAAGAGCATTGACCCCCTCCTTCTTTCTTCTCCGTCAAGCATGCACGGGGGGTGGGGGTGGGGGGGGTGCAGTCATTCTTAGAAGAGCAAAAGCAGAGAACCGAAGGACAGGCGACAGCTGAGTCTGGCCATTCCAAGTGGGTCGCTTTTGATCAGCCTGGGGAATCGGCAGACCTCTTACTTGAGAGAAAAGCATTCTCCTCTTCATTGTGGATAATGGCCAAGTTCCCTCCGAGCTTCTGGCAGAAAGACTGGGCCTCTCTCCACGACCTCTGTTCCCGCAGGGATGGGAAATGGAAGGCATAGCAGTGAGAGCGGAAACGCACTTTTCTGGTGATGCTGGAAAAGGCATCTGGACGAGACAGAAAAAAATGCGAGTTTCAAAAATGTCTGCGGAGATTCTCAAGTATAGAGGTCGTGGTTTCAAAGAGAAACTGATTTCCTATCTAGCAACACCTTCTACTCCTCTGGAGAGGGCAGATGAATCCTCCATGTTCAGAGGCACTCGACTACTAAGTAACGGTAACGTGGGAACTCATCAGGAAGCACCTTTTGCTTTCATGTCCTGAGGGTGAGTTGTCTAGTGTGTGTGTAACAGATGTGGGCTAAGTCAGGTTTGATCAGTCCCAGGATGCCTTTTTCCGCATTGCCAAGGTGTGTACGCCCCTAATTCAATTCCATTTCCCACCGTATCTGTCATGTGTTATTCTTCCTTATGGTTGGAGTTGGGAGGGAGAAAGAGCCAGTTTTTCTTGCCATACCTTTTATCGGCTTCTCACAGATAAATGAGGTGCTGGCCTCACAGTCCCAGTCTCTCCACTGTGCAGTGTAGATGCCCACAAGCTGGACACAGTGCTCCTTCCCGGGGTGGCCCTGCAGCCAGTGGCTGGTGAAATTGAAAAACCCAAAACCAAGGCATGAGCTGGAAGGGATTTCAATAGGACTGCATGAAAAAAGAATGTCGATGGACGTTCCGTGACCTGGAGGCCACCTGGGAAGGTCTTCCCCAGTCAGGAAGCGATGGGAGAGGAGAGGCCGATTAGGCCACCTCTTCAGGCTTTGTGTACATTGGCTGAATCCTCCCTTCTCTCGCGACACCCGCCCACCTACCCACCAAACACCAAACTCTTTCCTCCCTCACCTGTACCAACTCTGTGATATTGGAGTGCCATCCACCCAGGTGAGCTGAGCCTCTCGCCATGCCAGCCCAATCCAGAAGTATGATGCATGACCCCTGGCACCTTCGGTAAGGTCCCTCAGGAACGTCTGTGCCAAGGTAAGTTTCAAAGGCAAGGTTGGGAACACAGCAGCATTCTCTCCACTTCTACAGAAAGTGGGCAGGTTAAAGCCCGTCTGGGCCTGGTGCAGCTGCTGCCTTATCTGCAACAGAGCTGTCTTCATGGTAGCTGGACCCAAGCCAAACCCCTGCATGGAGAGTGCAGATTTCAAAGACCACTTCTTACTTGCTTGCTGTAATCCTTGATAACCACTAAATCTGCCTTTTGGTCCTGACAGAAGATTCTGGCCTCCTTCCAGGAGAGAGCAGGAGCAGCCGGGAGATAGAAGCAGAACTCATCTCTGTATGGGATCCAGTTTGGGGGGCACCACCCCTGTCCTGCATGGAGAAGCAGTAAAGGTGCATCTTGGATCAGAATTTTTGTTGCTAAACAGAAAAGGGCTAAACTTTAGTCCTTTGGTGTTTAGTTCCACTCAACCTTACAACGACTACTGAGTTTCAGACACATCAGGCCAAGGTTCAACCTTCTCAGGAACAGCCACTTATCACAGGCACGGTGGAGCACATAGGTGATCTGTTCTTCTAACTACAGGCCAGCTTCATTCTTTGGTCTACCAGCAACTTGGCACTGGTTCTGCAAGCAATCTTCTAGCAGGTTCTGTGTGCCTCTCTGCCCTCATTCACACAGCCAGACTCACAAGGCCTTTTAGAATCCACAGGTCAAAATCTTTAAATCCAAATAATAAAATGAGATTTGGCAGACCCAGCAGTGGAAGAAACAAGAGGGCATGAAAAGGAAATATTTCAGAATGAGGACTTGGGGAGCGTGATAACCGGTCAGACCAGCACTTCTGACCAGGGCGATAGCAAGGGAGATCTCTGTTTGCATAGATAGAAGATTAGATGAATTATCCTCTCACCAGAACTTATGAAGAGCAATGCCAATGGCCCCCAGGCTACCTTCCAGTGCGATTCTGCTCCACCCATCTCAACGGGTCCTAAAATCAGAGAAAACCATCGTTTTTCTTCGGCAGCCTCCGGGATGTGAGGACACCTTCAAGTGGATACGTTTCCACCATTGATCAAGCCAAGCTGGGCCCTCACTTGAGAGCTGCCCAGATATTCGGTAACACAGTCCATCTGGAACACCCGCCAGTAAAAGGAGGACCAACGTTTGAGCAGGACTGGAAACTCCCCACCCTACCCCACCGTGCAGCAGGGGACGAGGGGTCCTGCCCAGGCGCTGGGCCCCTTCCGAGGGAGGACATCTCTGGGCGTCACGGGGCCCCCTCCACCCACGGGTCGGACAGCCAGCGCATCACCTCTCCGCTCTCTCTTGGCCAAGACCTTCCAGAGACCCTCTGGGCCACACCTGCCTCGACTGGCCCTGCTAACTCCAGGCAGGCTTCTCCGGTGAGGCCTCTGCCGCTAGGCCTCACGCAGGAACTGGAGCGAGAACAGGGAAAGGANGGGGGGGGGGGGGGGGGGGGGAATAAGCAATCTGGAAACCTGCGCCTCCCCAGCTTGGCAGGCCCAGAGACCTCCGAGGGCCAGAGCAACAGGAGACCTGCCCGAATGCTTCCTACCTCTCTTCTCGCCTGGCCACGAGCAAGAGCAGCAGGCCCAGACGCCCAGGGCTCTGCTCAGGTCTCCCCAAGGTCTCCCCAGGCCCACCTCTGCAGAGGCCCTCTGCGGCCTGCCCCGAAGGGGAGGCGCAACCCAGAAACCGGCTGCTCTTTCCAGAGAGGCTTTCCTGAGGAGGCTCCCAGGCTGGCTTCCCCTTGATGTGGGGCTGCCCCTCTGCCCCGCCTCCAGGTGCAGGTTGTAGGACTTTGTGGCTGCCTTTTAAGCATACTCATGAGTAAGAATTCCCCTGTTTTTTTTATAATGACAGCCACTTATAAAAAAATAAATCAATAAATACCGAGCAGGTTCATATTTGGAAAGACAGACTTGTGACTTTTAATTAAAAACAATCAAAGCATCTCAAGCTAAAATATAACTTGACAGATCAAGTAATGGTGCATCAGGAAAGCAGAAGCAGCCAAACCTTTTGGATCCCTGCATGAATCAGATATGACTCTGCCTGCCTGTCATTCAAACATCCAAGATGGGCTAGATTCAGCATTTTCACTTGTGCCAAATTCGACAAGTGAAATTAAGGGGATGGAGATGAGAAACAGACAGTTAAACAACGTTTTTACCAAGTGTCTGAGAAGCATTCGGGTATCACAGATTTGAAAATCAAAATTTACTGTCCAGTACTGACCCCTTGTGAAATTAGCACCTCTGTAGATCATCAATGTTAACATTACTTTCTTCTAATAATGATATCATTTATACCAGAAAATATTGTAATATTACTATTTCAGCAGCATGGCAGTATGATATTCTTTCATTTGTGAACTCTTGTCAGAAAGACATTCCAGTTTCTGAAGAAGAGACTAACTTAAAAATATTAAGAAAATATACCTTTTACAAAACTTATAGAGTCAAAGAGTGCTACTTTGCTGAGGTTCGGCATCCAATAGAGTCACACCCCAAGCATGTTCTTCAAAAATGGAAAACAGAGAAGGGCTGAGAGTGTTTGCTCCAAGGGTGCCTGATGCCCAGGGCGGCAGAAAGACAAGAAGGGATCAGGGGAGGATAAAAGAGGGAGACGAGCAGAACTACAGAATTGCAGAGTTGGAGGGACTTTGGAGGTCTTCTAGTACAACCCCCTTGCTTAAGCAGGAGATCCTATACCATTTCAGACAAACGGCTCTCCACGTAGGAGTCTCCCTCCTCTGTAAAAATGGCAGCCATTCCAGACCTTGTGCTTCTCTGGAAGCAGCCTGTCATTTACTAAAAAGAGACCAGGGGCAGAGTCCGAGCCGCCGGATGTGCTGGGAGAGACCCTTGCAGGTCAGATTTATCCTCTGGACACTCTCAGCAGCAGAAGTCTAAACTCTCAAGGGAAGCCATGGAGGCTCAACTAAGAAAAAAAACAAGACACCTCGCTAAGTACGCAACCGAGGAATAGGACCGGCCATCTATCGTCTGCAGCCATGCCCAGCTTGCTATCCCCAAGCAAGCACTGAGAAGCTGGTGCAAGGTTTGGGACCAGAAGGTTTACACGCAGCCCTGGGCTGGTCAGGAGATTTTGCTAAAAAAACCACCAGAGTGGGGAAGTCCTGCAAGATGCAGCAAAGATGGAGACATTTTCAGAAAATCCGGGACTCTGCCGTTCAGCAACAAGTAAAGGCTTCTCCTCTCTTCCTACTTTCTGCCCCAGGCAGGCAGGAAGCTAATTCAGCTCTGAAAAGCTGCAACGGTTCCACAGCAGAGCGTGGGGTCACAGTGGCAGCAGCTGTTCTGGGGAAAGCAGGGCTGGGGCTCAGGCAGAACTTCCAGGCAGGAGCCATTCGGCTGCTCCGTGATGACCGGCCTCTCCTTGGAGAACCACTCCAGCTGCAGCCGGCCTCCCTGCCGGGGAACTGCCTTCTCGGATTTGACGGCGAGGAAGGCCACAAGGTCCAAGTCAAGCATTGCCACCCCTCCACGCGGGGTGGGGGTGTTTTGGCGGCACTGGGGACACGGGATCCACCACTGCTCACTGGCCACCACGTTGAGGCGCCGGATGCAGGCCTGGCAAAACGTGTGGCCGCAGTGGAGGCGGCGAGGGAGGTGGGCAGAGAGATCATAGCAACAGTAGCAGACGATGCACTCCACTTTCAGGCCGCTGGGACTGGGGACAGTGGCCTCCGGGCCGGGCTTGGCAGCCTCGTCGTCCTCAAGCCCAGAAGCCACAGCAATCCTGCAGGGAAGAACCCAAGAGAAGAATCGTTCAGGGCCAGAGGCGGACCGGACTCTGGGCGGCAGCCCCAATTGGTCTTAGTCACCACTTTTTCAAATCTGCCTGCTGCAGAAGGCAGTGAGCTCTGGGACCGCTTTTCAATGCCCGTCAGTCGGAAACTCCTAAATCTTCTCCCGATTCGGTTTCTGAAGCCCTGAACTAGAGTAAAAAAATGGGGCGAGGTTTTTTGCACAACTTCCCAGTCACATTTTGATCTGGACAGAGAGGTTGCTGGCAAAGGAATTACAGGTTTTAGATGGTGGCTTATTCCTTTGGGGGAATCATGTGCGGCACCACCCGCAATTTTCATGCAAAGCTGCCCAGCAAAACTGACCCTTTGAAAGCAGGAGACAACCAGGTGACCAAGCCAGTCACTTAAGAGCCTTAATTCAAGTGACAAGCGAGAAAATGAGATGGAAACCCTTGCCAAATGCAGCACCCCAAAAAGGGTGACCTCTGCAAATGGTCGGGCAACAGGCCACGATCCTCTGCAAAGGCTCACCTTACCCAAGGCCAAAGTGTGGAAGCTGATGGGGCTCTGGGGCTACACAATCAGCAGGCCGGTTTCTGCGGGAGAAACTTACATTTCCTGCTCCTGCTGCATCTTCACTCTCCTCCAGAGAAAGAAAGGGAGGCTGACAGCTTCTGGCCACAGCCTCTCGCCCTACTGAATTATCTGAGGTTCACATTTCAGGCACAGTTGCTGGCACTGTAGCTACCATGAGGAGGCCAACTTCACAAGATAGAATTACTGTTGTCCTGGCCGACAAGAGCCACGGAAATGATATGCTCCCTCCTTGCCTGCCTCCTCCAACTCATCTCCCAGCATCGCCCTGGGAGTCAGTCATGAAGCCGCCTTTTGCACAAACGCCTGGAGTGCTCACATTCTGCCCACAGGAGAAACGACCCCTAGGATTTAAAGATTCCTGCACCTCCAGAGCCATCTGCGACCCCTCCTAGACCTCAGGGTCCCCGTGTCCCCAACCCAGCCTCTGGTCTCGGCCTGCAGCACAGGCTTCTGCCAAGGTGGAAGAGAGAGAGGCTGTTCTATCCTCAGTCCAAGAGGCAGGGAGGAGGATAGCTGGGAGAGAGGGGCTGCTGGGTGAGGAGCCTCAGGTGAGCCTCTCAGGGAAGCCCCTTGGGCAACCTGAGAACAGCCTGAGGGCCACACTGCCAGCAACAAGAGACGGGGTGTGTGTGTGTGTGTGTGCACGCACGCAAAGCAGGGCTGCTAGCAGAGTTGCTCCTTTTGCGTTGGTGATGCTCCTTCTGCAGGTTCAGGTTAGCCTCAGGGAGGCCGTTCTCCGGCCTGAAGCCCCAACCTTGGCCAATGGCCTAGAAGGGAAGGTCTCACCAGCCGCTCCCTCCCTGGCCCTCCTTTCTCTGCAGGAAGGACCCCCCTCTTTGGGCGACTCTTAAATCCCACTCAGCCTCTTATTGGTGGCTTTCAGGCTCAGCATTTAGTCCCTGCTGTTTGAACTGGAAATCTACTAGCTTTCCTGATATGCCGCATTAAGCATGTATTGTAAACTGCCCTGTGAAAGAAAGGTAAAAAAGTTAAATAACAATTCCACATTTCTGAAATGTTCACAGTTTGACTACTGTTCCATGATGCAGCACCTGTTTGACATAAAGTCTCCATAACTTCCAAATGGACTGAACAATAAAAGGAAGCAGGAAGAGAATGTGACCACTTCAAACTAAGAGATGCTTTGCCAACCTTCAGATTCTCCTCTTCCTACAGACAAATCCGGGTATTTGGCTGTCAGAAAGTCCAAATAGGGCTGCTGCCCCCTCCCCCTCCCCAGTAGTCAGGACCCACCCAGGAGGGCTGTGGAAGGGCTGGGATGGACAGAGGCTGCTCTTCCAAAGTCTTCCCAGGAGGGCTGCTGACGGACGTTGCCCTCCATTCTGGCTACAATAACTAAGGTCAGGGGGCAGAACCCACCACGTGCCAACCCAGTAAAGCCTCTCACACATGGGGCAGAGACGTTCTGTGTTGTCCTCACTTCACGAAGCAGCCCCGTTGCAAGTGGAGAAGTGGGGCAGAAGACCGATGGAGGGAAAAGCGCTGCTGCAGGCCTAACGGTTGAGTGTGCCAGACCCCAAAGTAAGCCCTCCCTCGCCTGCTTTCCCCCTGAATAGCCAGCAGTGGGGCAGCCACCACCACCACCCCGCCACATTCCTCAACCCCTCACAGAACGGAGGGTGGGGGGGGAGTTTGTTTAACTGGGCTCACTCGAGGGAGGCATAGCTTTAGGAGAGGGGGGATAAGGGGTAAGAGTCAGCCCTTCTCCTGGGGGGTGGGGGGGAAACATTTAGGTGGCGAAGGCCTGCCTTCTGCTGTTTGCTTGTGTGCTGACCAGTTCCTGGCTCCCTCTCGCCCGCCCGGCAACCGAGGAGGAGGAGGAGGAGGAGGAGGAGGAGGAGGAGGAGGAGGAGGAGGAGGCTCCTCCGCAGAGACTCCAGAGACTCTGCAAGGCTGCTCCTCCTGGGCCAGCAGCATCGTGGCTGTTTCAGACGTTTTGCAGCCACCACTTCTATTCTCACCTGGCCAGGTGAGGGAAGGAAAGCCGTGCCTGAAGGGGAAGAAGCAGGAGGGGGGAGCTTGCTGCTCCCGGCAAACCCCCAGCTCCAAGTGTGGGCCCTCCCCTTAGCTGGCCACTAGCAGGAAGCCCACAGTCCCCTTTGTCACACACACAGACAGACAGACAGACAGACACACACACACACACACACACACACACACACACACACGTAAGTAAATCTCTACCTACTGGGCGAAACTGACCAGAGGGCGAAACGTTTTGGACCAAGTACTTCAAATGGGCTAACTTACAGAATGTGTCCAAAATCCAGGACTCATGATTCCAGTGGAATTGAAATTTGGCAAATTTTATAAAACATTTTGTGACAATAACATTATCATAATACAAAATGTCATAAAATATTTCCTGTGTTGATACAGGTCAACGTGGGCCATTTCCAAGGCAGAAACGTCTCCGAATGTCTCCCACGAGACTCTCCACCACTATCGAAGGAGCTGAGAAATCCGGTCAGGAAAAACCTCCGAATGGATGAGCCGACGCCCCGAAAGCAACGCTAGTCCTCTTATTTTTCCTTTGGCTTTTTTATTCTGCGCTCGCAGGGTGCCCTGCTGTCCAGTCAGCCTCAGCCGTGAGTTTGGTTTCTTCTCTTCAGCCCAGAGCCTCAGGAAGCCAGCCCCTCCTCCCTGGCAGCATTGGAGAAGCAGCCCCAAAGCCCTTCGCCCTCTAGCTGGGCCACAGGCGCCTGTCCTTGAGCCACGCGCTCCGGCACGGATGCCCCCATTGCCAATGAAGTGGAAAGGGAGGCCAGGCAGGGCGTGGCAGAGAACGAGGAAGGGTGCCACGTGCAGGAAAGGTTGGTGGGGCAAGGTTGGCAAGGGAGACGAGGAGTCTCGCCCTGTTGGGGCTGTGCCAAGGAACGCCCACGGCTGACCTTCCGAGTGTGTGTCCTTGGGAGGCTCAGAAAGCAGGTCCCAAGCCAGGCTGCCTCAGGTGAAGATAAGGAAAATGGAAAGGCTTCCACAGAATGCAGAAAAACCGGGCAGGCGGGTGGGGGGGAGCTGGAGTGCCCCTCCCACGAACACCAGGAAGACAAGCTGGCTGGACAAGGACAGGTTTTATGACCCTGGCTGTTGACAGAGCACCTTCACCGAGCCTCCCTTTGAAGGGCAAAGGCCAAGGGCCCCACCCTGAGCAAGCAAGGTCGGCCTCCCCCCCCCCCCCGCACTTGCAGCCACACACACTCACACACCTGCTGGAGTGCAGTGCCTCCCGAGAAAGGGGCGGGGGGTGAGGCCAGGTGCCCAAGGGAAGGGAAGGCACGGCAGACAGCCCTCCTGGCCCTGCTCTGGGTGGTCCTCGCAGAGAGGGAGCAAATCCGGCTCCCAGCTCCAGCTGCAGGGTTAGCGCCATGTCCACACTTCATCATCTTTCTTTGCTGGGGGAACCTTTTCCCTGTTCTTCGTGGAATGCCGGCTCAGACCGCCCTCTTCCGCTGCCCACGTGGCTTCAAGGGGAAAGGAAAGGTGACCGCTCCTTTAGGCCTCCCGGGCATTGGGGCACACCTGCTCTGGCGGAGGGAGGGCGATGCCCAGCAGCCAGCCTCAGCTGCTCCTCGATTAGGAGACGACGCAGCAGCACTTCCTGCAGCAAGGCGAGCAGCAGCCGCAGCAGCCGCAGCAGCCGGGATCCGGAGCTGCCTCTTCGTGGCTCTTCCAGCGGAAGGGCTCCGGAGCCTCTTCCCTGGGCACCTTGAGGCTGGCATAGGGGTTGGTGGGCCTGGCCTGCGACTCCACCTGCGCTTGGCTCCTCTGGCCGTTCCAAGCCAGAGAGGGAGACTTTGGATCTGCCTCTTTCTGTGGGGCTGCCGAGCAGGGGGGCAAGACGTTGGGACTGAAGTCCTCCCCCAGGAAGTCCTCCCTCAGGAAGTCGTCCTTCAGTTGCGCCCGCGGAATGGTGACGCTGGCATAGGGGTTTTCGATGGTGAGCCCCCGGTCCATGGCTGCCTGCTCTGCCTGCAGACGCTCCTGGAAGAGCAGCGGCTGCAGCAGCCCCCGAGGGTGGCTCTTGCTTCCCTCGTCCGGTCGCCAAAGAAAAGAGCCAACGCTTGGAGACAAAAAGGAGATTTTATTGTCAGCAATTTCCCCATGTTGCAGAGCAAGAAAGGAGGCATTAAAAAGAATCATACTGAAAGTAACTTTGGTAAAATTATGGCGGAAGTCAGGAACCAGCCATCCCCCTTCTTCCAAAGAACGGACAGGAGAAGTCTGGCGGCTACAGAAAGGGGCCCATTTCCAAAGCATTAACTGCCTTGTGGCCTGGGGGGTCCTGCTGCTGCCTGGACAGCTGCCCAAAGCAAGAGAGCCGGTCTTCCCAATTTTACCTGGCCGCTCTGTGGCAACAGTAGCACAGAAGACAACAAGGGCACTGAGAAAGTAAACAACGAGGAAAGGGGGGGCAGCGGGCTGTCACTCGCTCTCCAGCATTTGGGCAACTTGTAACTGGATGAATTTTTGTTTCCCTGGTCCTGCTCTTCCTTCTGGGAGGGAAGCCCCCCGGGGACGTTTGCCCAAGGGAGGGGCCTCCAGCTCTCTTTGGGAAAACCCCTTGCAAGCTTCTCCTCATGCCAGGGGGGGAGGGGGGAGGGGGGGACAGCAGCTCCCCCGGCGGAAGGCCTTCCCACCCACGGCGGCGAGGGCTGCTGCCCTGGGGACGCAGAGGCTGCTCTAAACCAAGCTAGGCGTCGTCCTGCCTCGGAAGGGCTCGGCTGCCCCAGGTTGCCAGGCCAGCACCTCCCCGGGCTCTGCTCTCTGCCCGCCTTCTCCGAGCAGCACCAACCGCGCCCCGGTGCGTCCCCGGACCCCGGCCTCGCCGTCGCTGCCCCGGGGAAGAGAGCCGGCTTCAGCGCGGCCCCGACCTACCTCGCAGGATGGTCGGGAGGAAGACGTCCCGTCAACCCGCCGCCCGCCCGGCCTGCGCTGGCCTCTCTGCCAACGGTCTGCTCCGCCTCCAGCCGGGGAGGCACCCGGCCCTCCCCCGCCTCCGCAGGTCCACCTTCTCCGCACCGCCCAGCAAAGTTCGGCCGACGCGGCGAGCCCCGCCGCAGCTCTCCGCCGCCGCCCGCCCGGCCCGGCTTCGGGGCTACACGCGCCGCGGCAGCTGCTCCGCCGCGCCCCCCTGGTTGACCCCCGACGCCGGCGGCGGTTCGTCCTCCGAGGCGGGGAGACGCGACCCTCCAGGCGGCGACCCCCGCCCCTCCCGCCCCCCGCCGGCCCATTGGGAAGAGCGCCCGGGGAAAAGGCGCTGCCGGCAGTCTTTCCCAACCCGGCGCCCGCCTTGCCCCGATCGCAGGGCTCCGGGGGCGGCAAAATCTCCCAGGGCCCACCGGGCAGGGGGCTCCTCAGGATGCCCCCTCCAAAGCCCCGCTACTGCTTGGAAGCGGCTCGCCTGGCAGAGGCCCTTCCTCCCCCATCCCTCCTTCGGGCGCCCGGCGCCTTTTGGCTCAGAGGAAGGGCTTCGGGGGCTTAAGCGGGCCTGGGCGGAGATCTGGGCCGGCAAGTCCTGGTCTTTGCTGCCCCCACCATCCGGGCGCCTGGCTCCCCCTCCCCACAGAGAGCGGCTCTTCCGACCGAGGCTGGGTGGAGGGGGCAGGCGGGTCTCGGGGGCCCTTCTCCCCAGGAGACAGGCCGGCTGGGCGAGTGCTGTTCCCCAGAGCCGACGCTAGGGGTCAGCCCTCCCCTAGCCCTGCTGGCTTGCTTCCCCTCCCTCCACCCCAATGCTTGAGAGTTGGGGGGGGGGATGTTCTCTAAAAGGCAGCAGGTAACCAAACTTATGGATAAACTGCGCGCGACACGCCTATCTTACTACTGAATGACATATTAAAAGAACTATTACATACGAGGTATACATATTTTAAAAACAAGGAAATAATGTATCTATATGCATATGTATGTGTAAGTAAAATGAAAAGAAAATGCAGCTTTCCCCATTCCTCATTTTGGTTCCCCAAACGACTCGTGTGGCACTCACTAGGCCACACGGCTCACAACCACCTGCAAGCACGAGAGCCTCTGACGCTCAGCTCAGGGTGAAGAGACAGCTTGACCGCTCTGGTCAGGTCCAGCACAACAGCCCAACTAACGGCCTTGTCTACTTTGGTGAAAGCTTCCATCGGCCCTTGCCAAGGCGGTCTTCTCTCGTGAGCAAGGGAGCCCCGGGCCAGTCCAGCTGCCTCTTGCCAACAGTCGCCTAGCTGGCCTGATTCCCCCCCCAGCCCCCTTCCAGGGGCAGAGGAAAGCCGGCCATTGTGACCGCCCACCGAGTCTCCAGCTGGAGGAGAAACCAAGGATTTCCTGTCCCGGAACCAGCGCTTCCATCTCCTGGGCCCCTCCCTGTGGTTATAACCCCCAAGCGGTGAGGGTTCCACCCTAGTCCTGCCCGGTGCTGCCTCTTAGTCATACTTAGCAAATTTTCCAGCTCGACTCATGACTGGGATCAGCAATGTTATCTTCTTTATCATTATTATCATTACCAAGTCAAAATATCACTCTGAGCAAGTTTCCTTAGAATGAAAGTGGCTCGCTTGGCCTCCCCAGGGAAGATCCCGGCTGACAAGACGGTGCCCTCTGCCCTCTGCAGTCCTCAGCCAGGCGCCCAGTTAAACCTGCGCAGCATCCTCCAGTTAAGTGGGCATCATTTCCTGCCCCCACTTGGTTTGCCAAACCAGTTTCAATTAAATTTGTGCACATTTACACATGAGTTAGATTTGAAGGAAAACATAGTGCATCGATAAGACATAAAGCTTGTAGAACGAAGGGGGAAAAAATAGCACTTCCTTTATGGATGGGGCCTCAGCGGAAACAGGCTGCCCTGTCTCGAAGTTCATCTTCAAGATGGTGTCTGCCAGCCCTGCCTCTGAGAGTGCCCTCTTGCCCACAGCCCCCACACCCCCCTGCCTCAATGTCCAGTGGGGCAAGGCAGGGGGCCGCCAAGGGAGACTAAAGGGCTGGAGAAAAAAGGCAGCTTTGTGCAAAGGAAAATCGCAAACGCAAACGCTGGGAGGGCGAAGGCAATGGATGCTGAGCCAGGCCCCCTCCGTGCCCCAAGAGAAGGGCAGGTGCTCTTCCACTGGGGGCAAGCCAGCCAAATTCCCCGGGTCCTCCTTGGCTGGGACCAGGGACTTCAGCAGCCAAAGTCGTCTAGGTGGGGCAGAGAAATAGGAATGCCCTCTGCGCTGTGCCCAAGACAGGGCTACTCACTCTCTGCTGCCTCGGGAACTGAAGCCAGGGTGATTTCAAGCGCCAACGGTTCTCCTCCTGCTTCCTCGCCTCCTTCGCTAACCACTTTGCCAGCCAGCTCAGGCCATCTCTGGAGGCAGGAGATTCCACAGGTTGTTTTTAGACTGTCTGAAGAAACGGTTGAGAGCCACATTTAGCAGAAGCTTTTCATTTCAGAGCAGGATTCAGAAATGCTTAACAAAGGGGAATCCTCCTGCCTGGTGACACACAAAAACAATCTCCAAGGCAGCATTTGGTGGCTGTGTATATTTGTGGGCGCGCAATTTTAATACCCTGTTCAGGACATTGGATGACCATCATCTCAGGAGGGGACCTGGTTACCATAGGGCTGAGGTTAACTGAAGAGGGAGGGGAGATTTCCCAAGAAAGTCCTGATTAACTGGGGAGGGGGCAGGCGGGAGGAGCACAGACAGCAAAGGTGTGCATGCAGGTGCAGACCAATTGCAGGTGGCCTGTCATCTGTGCCTCCCCCATGGTTAGATGAATTATCCCACTTTATGTCTCGAAGCACAAAGGAATTTTGTTATCCCCAAATCACGATTTGTTTTCTCTTTCTTTGAAAAAATAACCTCTGTCATTTCTACTAAAGAGACAGTCCTCAGGGAAGGCAGACTTCTTGCCTGTTCTATGGGCGTCCCCTGACCCATGTGGGGTACAGACCCACAGGGAAGAAAAGGATCCCCCCCACTGTCCTCAATAACTTTTGGCAAGGCACAGCCCCAGAGAAGGAAGGAATCTGCTCAGGACAGCCAAGCTTTTATTGGCAGCCTGGGCCAAAAACCCCTTCCACTTTTATTATGGTCTTACTGCTTATGTTATTTTCCAAGCAGTTTACAAACGTGGAAAAGGTGGGGATTAAAAGGGACTCAGTGAGCCTCTTCTTATCGAGGGCAAGATGGAAATTCTGCAAGGTGGATCTTGAACGGGTGGAAAGAGCACGGAGGGTCCCAGAAAGGAGGCTCTCACCCGCCCGGGATCAGGAGGGGGCCACGTCTCCTTTCATTCTTCCTCTCTATTTCCACTGTGTGGGGATGGGAGAGCAGGCTAAGCAAGTTTGGGATGGCTGGCTGGGGGGGGGGAGCTTGAAGGAGGGGTGTGCGTTGACGTCTGCTCCAGCTGAGCAACAGCAGCTGGAAGCATCAACAGAGCGCTGCTGCAGAGCGCCTTCCTCCCGTCTCGGCTCCTCAGCATCTCTGCCGGCTTCCTAGCCCAACTGCTCCCGGCTGGAGGTCACCTGGCCTCTGCTTTGCCCTTTCGGCTCCAGAGCGACCTACCCCGCAGGGTTCTCGGTCTGGGGTGCGAGGGAAGGCCCACCCGGGAGCCGGAAGGAAGCTGCTGCTGCTGCTGCAACTGCCGCCGCCACCGCCGCCGCCTCGAAGGGTAGCTTCGCAACGGCCGGCCGGCCGGGCGGGCGAGAAAGGCGGAGCAGAAGCCAGCGAGTCTCTTATCTTCCTGCGCGACCTCCCGGCAGAAGCTTCTCCGCAGCGCGGCTGGCAGGAGCGGGCGGGCGGGCGGGCGCTAAGGCAGCGCAGCCGCGAGATCGGGCCGGCGGCGGCGGCGGCGGCTGCTGATTGAGGGAAACGTGAGCCGAGCCGAGCCGAGCCGGGCCGCCTGCATCACTGCAGTGCTCTCACTGCGGAAAGAGAGGGGGACGGAGCGAGGCGGCGCCGCGGGAGGGCAGGGAGGCTTCCCGATCGACCAGAAGCAAACGGCCCCGCCGCCTTCGGGCCGAGGCTTCCCCGCCCGCCAGCCCGCGCGTCTCCGGGCTTGTGCTCGCCGCAGAAGGGGAGGCAAATCTGCCGCCGCCGCCGCGGCCTCGCTTGGGTACCAGTCGCAGCCGGGCGCAGCTTAGCATCCCGCTCCGCCTCGGGGCCGCTCGGAGACCGGAGAGAGGACCCGCCGGCCGGGCGCTTTCCCTCCGCCTCCTCCCCCGCCGTCCCGGCCCCGAGGCGCATCGGCGGAGCCGGAGGACGCGGCGCCCGCTCCCCGCGCACCTGCTCCTCGGCCGAACCGCTGGAGCGGCGCCAGCCTGCGGGGGGAGCCGGCCGCGGAGGATGTCCGGGGCTCCCGGACAGCCGGCAGGGAACCGCCGGAGGTGAGGATCTGGGGGCGCGATGGGGGAGCGGGCGGGGATGCCCGTGAGCGACGGTTTGAGCATCTGCCTCGGGCCAAACAACATGGGTCCTGGAGTAGAGAGGCCCCAGCAGCAGCCTGCTCTACAAAGGCAGCAACCTTGATGGGCTTGCTGGAGCCGGAGCCGGCCGTGGGCTTCTGGGCCTCTGCAAGGAGGGTGGTGGACGCAAGCACCGTGGCCTGAATTCACCAGGCGCTTTCCCTCAAAAGATGCCACTCCTCCTCCTCCTCCATTAGTGTCGTTCCCTCGTCACCCTCACCAAGAACGTCTCTGCCACCCAGCAGGAGCGTCTCTTTTGGGGTGCCCCCCGGGACAGGAGCCTGACAGTCTGGCCTCGATTTCTGCTCCAGAGCGATGCAGGGCCTGTGGGCCCCCAGAAGCCACCCAGGCGGTGGCAGCAGCTGAAAGGATCCGTGAGCTTTGTGGCCGTACAGAGATGCCAGCCAGTCCTCTTCTCCTCCTGCTCTGCCAGCACAGCTTATCTGGAGCCCAAAGGAGTCTCCCAACTGGAGCGGCGGGCAGAGGAGGACTCCGTCGTCCCTTCCTTTGCAAAACAGGCTTCCTGGCCAGGCTTGGGGCAAAGGCTAGGTCGGTGCCCTGGCCTCATGGCACCGATTCCTCCCGAGGCTCCTTCGCCTCCCCATCATGGCTCCTAAAGTTCAAAACAGGCACAACTGCATTGCAATATGAAGTTTTTCTCTCTCACAAGCTTCCATCCCGAAACGTTAGTCCACATCAATGCCTCCTGGCTTGCCATGGGTAACCCTTAACCAGCTTTGTCATTTAGATTTGTACTTGGACAAAGTCATGTGAGAGTTGAAGAGGGATTCAGACCCCCCCCCCCAGCCTTTCAGTGCAGGCTACTTTCTTCAGCAACAATCCCCTGCTTCTGCTCTTTAGACAAACCCACCAGGAGTTCCCAGATTCCTCTGAAGAGGAAGCGGCTGCAGTTGCAATCGGCATCTGTGGCCAAGTTGTGGCTTGAGAGCGAGGGAGCCGTGACGCGGAGCAGGGGCCCAGCCTCTCAAATGCAGAAGGACCAACGACTCTTATTAGGGCAGTGTGGAAATTGGGCTGGCGCTGCTTGAGCAGATTGTTCCTGGCAGCTGTAGACAGAGATTGGCACAGCCCTTGCCTGATCCTTCCCCCCCTGTCTAAATGGGGGGGCGGCAGAGAGACCTGCACTCAAGAGTCCAGTGCTCATTTGGAAACATTTCCATGGGGCCGCCAAGGCAGCCTTGTGTCCCATCCATGTCTGGACTGCATTGGGGCCTGGCGGGTCTTTTGCAGGTTATCCTTCCACACAGGTGCCTGGGCCCCGTGTATTGCCCCCCACCCAGCCAAGTTTCAAAAACGGCTTGCAGAGCACCAGACCTAGTCGAGAGCTCCAGGCCCCTCAGACCTCTCTCCAGGAAGGGGTGGTGGTTGAAGACCAGATAAGATGCTTGGCACAGAGAAGGTGCCCAATTTTGTCCCTGCTATCTCTGGGTAGGAAGGTCAGGGACAATGAGTGCTGAGCGAAGAGGGCCCACAGCCCCAGGGGGCCTTTTGTTGCCTCAGAGCAGCAGGCAGAGGAGAATAAGCATACTCCTAGCCCACAGACAGTAAAGACACAAAAAAGAAAGAGGCAGGGAATAACGGAGAAAAAAATGACAGTCCCCAGTGGGGAGTTGAGCAGCAGAGCACAGAAGATGCGGGCGGGATTGCTGGTATTTTAAAAGGAGACCCCAGTTTCTGAATGCCTTTTAGAACTGACAAAGTGTTTTTATTGTCCCAGTCTGCTGCCTTGGGGTGGGGAAAGCAAAGGCACCCACAAACACGGCTGTCCAACGACTTGCACTGCTCTGCTTTGTTTTCCAGGGCTCTGAAGGGCCAAGCCAGTTCCAAGTGAAGAAGAAGGGGCAGCTCTCCCAGAGCAAACCTGAGCAGGACCTGCCTCACCTGGGGGCCTTTTCCTGGGACCTGATCTGCAGGAAAGAGCACCGAGAAAGCTGCACATCAGAGCTCAGGAATTTGCAAAACACATTCTTGAGCGTTGTTAGGATCTCCCCACACGTAAACAGGAACCAAGGCGCGCAGGCCTCCCCCGGAGACTCCAATCGCATTCCATCCACTCCTCTGCAGCCGAGTGGGCTCAGCTACACCGGCAGGGCAGAAGAAACCGCCAACCGGTGCTCTTTCCCCGGCTCCTTTCCTTTCTGCTCACCCAGCCAGCCGGGTCTCATTCTGCCAGCCAAGCACCCTTCCTGGGAACTAGGCCCAACGGCCTGCTGCCAAGAGAGCGGGATCCGTGGGCATAAAAAGTCTGGTGTGAAGATCGCCCCTCGCCTTGCAACCTGTCTTGCCCAGAGAGTTTGGACGGCCCAGGCCGCAGCCGGCACGACGGTCGGAGCCGTTTTGGCAGTCCTGCTGCGGGATGCATCTCTGCCCTGCTGTCCCCCTCCAGCGCTGCCCCTTCATGGTCCGCGCCCGCTTCAAAGCCTGGCTTGCCACAAGCCCCATCTAGCCTCATGCAGGAGGCCTTCGGAGGACCCAGAGCCGCGGACAGGAAGGTGAAGAGCCTCCTCATGTCATGTCTGAAAGGGCAGCAGGTCATCATCAAAATGGAGGCCATGAAGATCATCCATCCTGAAAAGTTCTCCGAGCTGCAGAGCTCCCAGTCACGCTATGTGCCGGCCCCCCGCCGGGACCCTCCCCTGGTTGCCAAGCGGGCCTGGCCCTCAGAGTCCGAGATCATCGTTAACCAGGCCTGCGGTGACATCCCAACCTTAGACCACAACCCAGGGTCTCTGGGGCTGTCACGGACCCCGCCCCTGCCCCGGCGGGAGCGGCTGTATCCAGGGCAGCGCAAGGGCAGCTCCGACCTCTGCTACCACCGCCAAGCCTCGGCCTCGGACGAGGTGATCGTCAACCAGTACGTGCTACACCCCTCCACTCCGTCTGAGCCCCTGGAGTGTCCCACCTGCGGCCACACGTACAACTTCACCAACAAACGCCCGCGCATCCTCTCCTGCCTGCACTCCGTGTGCGAGGAATGCCTGCAGATCCTCTACGAGTCCTGTCCAAAGTACAAGTTCATCTCCTGCCCCACGTGCAAGAGGGAGACGGTGCTCTTCACCGACTACGGGTTGGCTGCCCTGGCAGTCAACACCAGCATCCTCAACAGGCTGCCGGCCGAAGCACTCTCGGCCAACCAGGCCCAGTGGAGCAGCGAGACCGACCGCAGCTGCTATCAGACCTTCCGCCAATACTGTGGGGCTGCCTGCACCTGCCACGTCCGGAACCCGCTCTCTTCGTGCACCATCATGTAAGCTGTGTTTCCGCCCCTGCCCCACTCTGCCCACAGTCTCTCGCTGGCCTCGGCAGTGGGACTGCACGAGGGAGAAAAGGGTGGCTTCCACAGGTCCTGGGAGATGCCAAGGCCGACCAGACTGGCCTTCCGGGATCAGCACCTTGAGTTGGGATGGCTGCTGCTTTGAGGAGCGGAAGTAATCTTGGGGGTCACCCCTGGTCAGGACGGCTTGTTCCCAGGTGTGGCTGTTGGAAGAGCCACCAGGAAGGGCTGTAGAGATCCGACCGCCCACTGCCGTCCCCGTCCATTCACCTCCCCTTCCTCTGCGCATCCTGAGAGACCCTAAGCCACGCCTGGATTGGATCTTCACGGGTCGGATTTGATCTCTCTCCTTTCAGCTCACGGCTTAATCCCAGCGGGTTCCATGTGTCCTGGAGGGGAGAACAGGGCGGTTGTTGGGAGAAGACGAGCCAAGGCAGGGCCCTGGAACACTACAGAAACGATGCCAGGCGGGGCCTGTGCTGGAAAACAAGGCAGATGCCGATTTTAAATTATTTGCCAAAGTTTCTGATTCTGTGGCCAAGCATTGTAAATTCACTCTGTGCTGCCAACTGAAGTCCAGTTGGAAACAGGAATTCCTGAAGAATCACCCTGTTTTCTTGATGCAAATTCTTAAGGGAAGCGGAAAACAAATGTACATTTTTAATCCTCATTTTGGAGGATGCATTCCTCAGCCCTGTTTCCGAAATGCATCTTGTTTAGGCCCCTGCTGCTTAATAAAATGGACTGAGAGTGCAGCGATCCTTGGGTTGCGTCTCCTGGGGCAAAGGGCAAAGGGACAGGTGCGTCCCTGCCAATGGAAGGGGAAGCAGCCCCCTCCCCCCTCTGACACTGAATCTCCTCCGAGGAAAAGGCAGGGGAACCTGACCTTTTCCTCCATCCGGGGCAATTTCAGGAGTGTGGGCCACTCCCCAACTGTAGCCAGGTCCTGATAACTGTGTCTAGAGACCCCTCAGCCCATGAAAAAGACCTTCCCAACTGAAGGGGCAGATAGAGGGCGGCCTGTGCAGTTTGATCACTGGAACGCCATGGTAGTATCAGGCTGGAGGGAAGAGAATGCCCACTTCCTCTGGCGGAGGCTGGTCTTGGAGGAAGTATCAGTCTTGCAAAACATTCTGTGCCAAGTTAGAAAAAAAAAAGCCATAACTTGATCTGAGTCCAACCAACACCCAAGGCCAGACTCAGAGAAAAGGGCATTCCTTAGTGACCCATCTCTTGAGGTTCAGCCCCACGTGCCTGTGGGTCTGGGAGAGCGGAGATTTAAATCTTCAGTTGCCCTGTGGGTCTTTCTAGTAGTAAACCAGGAAGCTGGCATGACTGGCAGTGGAGCTCTAAGGGGCATCCCTGGGTCACGCCAGGTTCAACATCTGGAGAACCCACAGCACTAGGAGGCTGGGACTACAGCTGGGAGCAAGGCCTGGTTGGAGCCCAACAAAGCCTGACTCTTGCAAACATCGGCCAAAGGGCAGAACTACCTTAGCCAGGCTTCTGCAGAAGGGTGCAGGAAAGGGGGAGCCACGTCCCCTGGGTCCATCTCAAGGGAGGAGCGGAGGAGGGCAATGTTCCTCAGTGGCAGCCTGGGCATTCCCCATCCAACCTCCCAGGAACATCTTGGCTCAGGAAAGGTCTGGCGTTGGCTTGCCCAAAGGCTCACAGCCGCTTGTCCCTCAGGTAGATTGTCGAACTTCGGCCAAAGCCGCCCAGATGAACAGGAGAGGGAAAGCATCAACCCAGAAAACAAGATGGCTGACGAAGAAGATCCTGTTTTCTACATGGTGGTCTTGTTAACCCTCAGCCAAATCTAAATAAAGAATGCTCCTGAACCAAAACAGACACGTCCTTTCCATTCATGTGTGTGCATATGTAGAGAGAGGAGGTAAGTGTATGTGTGTGTTTTTTGGGGGGGGAGAGGTCAACCTGCAGAGTCCTCACAGTGGACTGGGTGCTGGAGCAACTGGGCTCTGGGCCACAGAGGTGGGACTTCCTCAGCTGACCGCTCTGTCTGCGGCCAGAGAGTCTCGCAGAGGGCTCAGCCTGACTATATTAGGACACCTTCCTTACCTCAATCAACAAGCGCCCAATAGGAAGACCTGCCGGTAAGACTAAGTTTCATCCCCTCATCCGGAACTGTTTTAAAATATTGAACCAGCTGAAGGAAAAGCTGTGAACGCTGAGCTTGTCCTGGGGGTGTCCAAGGGGCCAAACTCTCCTCTCCTTGAGGAGGCGGTCAGTTGCCCCTCAAGAGCCATGGGGACCCTGGGCAAGGAGGACCAGGGAGGTGGGGGTGGGGTGGGGTGGGGCAAACTGGCTTCTCTGGACCAGTTTGTAGAGACGCAACTGGCTGGCAAGGGGAGGAGGAAGGAGAGCAGCAACATGGTTTCTGACACTCTGGGCCCCTTTTCTGGGGAAGCGGCTCCCCCTCCTCTCACCCTGACCGGTTCCGGCTCTTCCTCTTCTGCATCAGCTTCCTGCCTCCTTCAAGGTACCCAGCTAAACCCTGACCTTAAACCAGCAGCTTCAATGAAAAGCCTTGGGGGGGGGAGGGGTGTTTGCTTTGCCTCCTCCACTGTTTCTCTGATCTGTTCCTCCACGTAGTTCTTGCCACAAGGTGGAAAGAGGAAGTGGTTCTTTTGCTGAAGCTTTGCAATCAAGTGAGAAATACTTCAAAAGGGGAGACAGCCTAGAAGAGGCGTGGCAGTTGGGGTTAGGGCAGGGCGAAATGGCCACCGGAAAGGGGTTCACAGACACACGCACACACACAAAACAGCACTCCCAGGGTCACCTGGTGGCGTCTCCTATTTGTGTTGTAAGTAACCACGCCATAATACTTCTGCACACAACACATCACAGTATTCATTGCTACATGACACTAGGTGAGAAGAGGCTCTGGGGTCAGGGTCAAAGAGCCACAAGGCGTAACCCTGCCCCCCCCACCGCCCTTCAGGGCAGGCAGCCCCTCCTTCCTCCCACCCTTCCTGAGGGACTACAAAGCTCACATGTGCTGCTGAGCAACAGGCTAGAGGAGCACCCTCCCCCAGCCATGCCCCTCCCCTTTCCTGCCCCCCCCCCCTGCAAGGAACCAGCTCTCCCTGCCGTCCCTGGGGAAGGGGCTTGTGAGCCCCCCACGGTGGCCACCCTGAGGGGACCCTCATTTTCTCACTAACCAGAATCGATTCCAGGACGGCATGGAAACCCCGAGGCGAACGAGAGTCGCCCCTCTGGCTGGAAAGGAGCATTGAAAGGACTGAAACAGAGGCAGCCGTTCTCAGAAAGCCTTTATGTGGGTCTGCACCCGAGAGGTGGAGAGGTGGCATGCTGCATTCCAGGGGGGTCGGCCAGGGAGGCCACGGGGGTCTTCCAGGTGGGCAGAGCCTCCTTGCCAGAGACAGTCCACAGAGGCTGCTAGACCAGCACAAAGCCAATGGCTTCTGGGCAGCTGCTGACCAGCGGGCTCTCTCCCCTCCACTTGGGGCAGGCCGTGCCAGCCGCTCCCTCTGTCCTCCGCCCGGCCTCCTCAGCGGCTCCTCCACCGAGCAAGCAGAGGGCGCCTGGCACCTGCTGAGTCACACCAAGCCATAAACCCCGTGCGCGCGCTTGCTCGGCCAGATTGCCTGGCAGCTCCCTCTCTTCTCTCGCCCCTGTTCCATCTGGAACCTGCGACACCCAGGCCAGTCTCCTGTCTTTGCCGGCTGGGCCTGGGAGAGCTGGGCCCAGGACAAAGAGAAGCTCCCAGAGGGAGCAAGGAGACGAGGCTTCTCGGGGGAGAGCCTGGGCAAGGGGGCTCACTGTTGGGAGGCTCTCCAATTTGCTGGAATGGGCCAAACAAGGCCGGCTTCCTCAGGGGAGGAACGGTGGGTCCCCTGGGAGCACCTGGCTGGCTGCCAGGGACAGCCCCTCCCTCTGCTGCACCCCCGGAGCCAGGAGAACCCCTGCCCAGCCTCAAGGCACCGGCATAGCTAAGAAGAGCAGGTGCTGACGGGCCATCTCCAATTCAGCTGCACCCCCTGCAAAAGCCCCCGCCCTCTGCTTCCCAAAGCTTCCTTTCCCAAGTGACCGCTCGCTTGGTCAAAGGAGTGGGCACTCAGTTCTCAGGGAGGCCATGCAGAGGCCAGCACGGCGTTCGGGCCCCTCCTTGCTTGCAGGCAGTGCTGGAGGTCCCCACCCTCGCTCGCAGCCCCCGGGGGCCGAGTCCGGCCAGCAGGAGCCCTACTTGTCCAGGATGAGGAAGAGCAGCAGCAGCAAAAGGATGGGCAGGAAGACCAACAAGAGGCTCAGCATCTCCGCTGCGGCCAGAGCCAAGAGAGCCGTCCGGTAGCACCAGGGGTAGCGGCGCTCCAGCTCTGCCAGGCCGCCCACCAGGCAGGCTGGGTAGCGGAGGCAGGGGAAGAAGCCCACCACGCGGCTGGTGTGGAAGCGCACGTGGAAGTGGTGCTCCAGGCCGCCCCAGAACCCTGGCTGCCGGGGCGGCAGCGGACTGAAGGCCGGAGGCGCAGAGGCCGGGACTTGGGCAGTGCTCAGCAGGAGCAGCTCCTCTTGCAGCTTGCAGATCTCCCATTCCATCATGGGTGTCTTCTGGCGGCAGATGGGGCATCGCACGCGGCCAATGTCAGCCGCACTGCCCGCCTGCAGGATGGCCTGCAGGCACTGGCCACAGAGCACGTGGCTGCAGTTGAGCAAGGCCGGCTTGCGGTGATCTTGGTCATAGAGCTCCGTGCAGATGGGGCACTCCTGCTCGTCCCCCACGGGGTCCTCGGCCTGGATGCAGCAGGATTGCGCCAGGGCCCCCTGGGCACTCCTGCCTGGGCCCAGAGCTTTGCTCCGCAGCAGGCAAACCCCTTCCATCTCCTCCGCCTCTTCCCCCAAAGGTAGTTGGGGTGCATTTCCCAATGGGCAGCTCTCCTCCTCCTCCTCCTCCTCCGGCCCAAGTGCTGCAAGCCCAGCTGTGCCACAGGCCTCTTCGGTCACAGGAGAAAACCTCCCGGGCGCAAGAGACTCTCCAGAATCCACTCCTAGCTCACCCAGGCCTTCTTTTGGGTGCCAAACGAGGGAAGCGATGCTTGGCTCCTCCTCCTCTCTGGATCCAGAGAGGTCATTTGCAGCTAGCCCACTCCTGGGCCCTTTGCCCTCACTGCCATCCTCCTCTTCCTTCTCCTCCTCCTCTATAAGCTCTTCCTCCAGCAAGCCTTGCCGAAAGTTGCCCAAGGAAGGTGCAGCCCTGAACACAGACACCTCCTTCTCGGGGTGAACCACAATGATCGGCTCTGTCCCAAGGGCCGAATCCGAGGGGATTGTCCCCATGCCCGTCCTGCTCCCAGCTTCAAGGTAAGGCAGTCCGGAGGCGGATCAGCAGCTGCTGTCTTCCGCTTCTTGGGGCCAAAGCTGCCCGTGGGACATGGCATGCTTCCATCTCGCCTAGCCCGAAACTCCTGCTCAGGAAGAGCTGCTGCCTCGCTTGCCTCCGGAGGACGGGCTCCACAGCCCTATGCTTTCCGGCTGAGCAGCCCGACCCAAATGGTTGCCAACAGGAAGGCTGGCGACAGCTGCGATCCTCTCTCAACTTGTGACAACCGAGACTCTGAATCAAGGGCGGAGCAGCTCCCTGTCGGCTGCAGGCCAGGGGGCGGGGCTGGGGCCGGCCGAGCAGGTAGGACCATCCAGGTGGCTCCACAGATGCTGGCAGGCGCGGCTTCTGTTCCTCCGTGCCGATATGACGCCACAGCACGAGGCTGCTGTGTTTCTGTTGGAGGAGCTGGGTTGCTCCCCTTCTTCGGGCTGGGCCATCTTTTTCTGGAGGAGGCGGGATGTTGCTCTGAGCAGCAGCCATTCTAAGCGTTGCCTGTTTGCAGCGAGGGGGCTTCTCTGCTACTCACAGGAATCACTGCTGGGAGTATAATTAAGGCAGAAAGGCTGAGTCTGTCTCCCCATTGGCCTCGGTTTCTGTCCCCTCTTCTGCTGGGACGCATGGACGCTCCTGCGCAGAGTCTCCATGAATGCCAGATCCGACTCAGAGACCAGGAGGTTGATGCTTCTGGAGACAAACTCTACCCTTGTTTTTTTAACAGTCCATGTTCCACAACTCCAAACCACACTGACACCCGTGTGCCACTTCCAGGCAGGAAGGAGCAAAGTCAGGAGCTTGACTCGGAAGCGAGGCCCAGCCTCTGCTTCTTTGCTCATCTGTGGGACAGCAGCAGCAGAGGTGGGAGCAAAGCAGGGAGGGAGTGCTCAGAGCTGGGCACCTGGAGAAGCCCTGAGGCTGGGCTGGTCAGGCCTAGAGGCTCGGCTCCTGTCTGGCTTTGACCTTAACCGCCACCTCCCAGCCCCCCACTCCCCCCCCGGCCGTCTGTGCCGCTCTGCCAGCACCTCCTTCCCCGGGGCTGTGCCTCTGGCTTTGGCTGCCCGTGAAGCCAGCTGTTTTATGCTGCAGGAGCAGAAGGCCCTGTGCAGATGCCTCAGCCTGATTCGCTTTGGGGGACCCCACCTGTTCCTTCAAGGAAGGACGAGAGAAACACAAGACACCCCCTGAAAATAACAAGGGAATGAAGGTCAGTCTGGCACAAGAAGACCGCTCTGGCCAGAAGGCAGAGCCAGGCTGGCTGGGAAGGCTCCAGCCTGACCACCTTCCTCTTCCTCCTGGGCTGTTTGGGGCACCTACTCAAGTCAAAGGACATACTTCCCGCCACCTTTCCCTTGATCTCCTGACCCCCCAATTTGAGTAGAAAACATTAGATTCCCCCTTTTGCACACCGTGAAAAAGTTCTGCTTCTTACTGTGAGAAAAAGAACAAATTCTCTGTGCAGCGAACGTTTTCCGTAGGGGCGAAGGGGATTGGATGAGGCAAGACTCTTGCAAGCCACGAAAGGGGAATTCTGATATAATTTAGGCAGGTTTGGTGGGGCTCCTCTCGTGTTTTCTCACGCAAGGTCAAAACCACCGTCCTCTGGTCACTGCCAGGCACGCCCGGATGCATGCAGAGCGAGGGGGGCTTTGCTCAATCTGGGTCCCAACTATGGCTGGGGATATTGCAACAGGGCCCAACCCACGGCCCCGGCTCAACCACCATCCCCTTTTGGAGCAAGGGGAACTAAGGAGAAACTTCCTGACAGTTAGAACAATTAACCAGTGGAATAACCTGCCTCCAGAAGCGGTGAATGCTCCAACACTGGAGGTTTTTAAGAAGAGACTGGACAGTTGTTTGTCCGAAATGGTGTAGGGTTTCCTGCCTGAGCAGGGGGTTGGACTCGATGACCTCCAAGGTCTCTTCCAACTTTTATTATTATTATATTATTATTATTATTATTATTATTATTATTATTATCATCATCATCATCATCATCATCATCATCATCATCACCACCACCACCACACAGTCAGCCAGATGTTCAGACTGGATTTGGCATTTTGTATTATTATTATTATTATTATTATTATTATTATTATTATTATTATTATTATTATTATTATTATTATTATTATCATTATTATTATTATTATTATATTGTTTTGTTGCTTGTTTGTTGTTGTTGTGATTATGATTATTAAGGCAAAAGGGATCTGGAGCACTTCCGCCAACCCTCCTCGCACCCAAAGGCAAGAGCCGACCGGTGGGATAGGCTCAGATGGCCTGGCTTGATTTATTGGTTCAGAATCGCCATCCTGGCTGCAGCTATTCCGTCTTTGGTGAGGAGCTTCCCCATCCATCCCATATTCCACGGCAGCTCAAGACCAGGTTTCAGCTTGGAAGCGGTGGGTTTGTGCCAAGAGGGTAAGATACTCCTCCGCTTCTGGAGCAGAGAGGCCTCCTTCCGACTGGAAAACAAACTTCAGGGCTTCTGCCACTGCCTCTGGCATCTGCTTGGCATTTCTGGAAGAGAGGGGTTGCCATAACAGGAGGAGAAAGCGGTGACAGCAAAGCAATTGCCAATCATCAGGGCCTGGTGGGCACGCAGGAGCTCCTGAAGGGCGGCAGCCATGTGCAAAGGTTCAGTCCTGCCTGGCCCCAGTGCAGCCCAGGGTGGCTGACTCAGCTGACACCAGAGAAGACCCAACTGTGCGCCAGGGCGGGTCAGACTCCAATGGCTCTCTAGGCACGGTTCAGCTGCTTGGTCAAGGCAGAGCCAGACTTTCCTGCCAGAATCTTCTCCCAAATCTGCGTACATCGATCCCCACATGTTGTTTCCACATCAATATTATATAGCCAAGAAATTAGACAAAAATCTAATGCAAATTCTGTATAAAATAACACCAAGTATCAAATGTCGGAACAGCAGCCGTTACTTTTTTTAGTTGTTAAAAAAAACCCACCTAGAAACATATTTAAACATGGGGGGGGGGTGTTAAGGGAAGTTGACAATTCAGGAAAATGATCTGGAAAATCCTGGCAAAGATTTTTTTTCCCCATCGGCTTTTGGGGCTTTTTTTTTTTTTTTTTTTTTTTGCAGGAGTGAACTTGCTTTGAGTGTTTGAAAGTTATTACTTTTAAATTTCAGATAACTTTGAGGAAACGGCTCTAGAAGTGCAACATGATCTGGGCTAATCGTGCAACACCCAGTTCATCCTCAAGGCTGGCCTGTGTCTCCAGAAATGTGAAAAAACTTGTTTTACCCCAAGAACTGGCTCGACGTGGCCTCCACCTTGGCCTGGGCAGGAAGATGAATCAAGCGCTTCCGCCCGGGATTCCCCAGGATAGACACAAAGATACACCCTCTGCACGTAAACAGGCTACACGTTGGAAGAAGCCCAGGCTTAAAAACTCGGGAAGTGCCACCACGCTGGAGTCAATGCAGACGCAGAACCGAGGATCCAAGAAGGCCGGAGCCCCACGTGGGAAGGAGGACAGAGTGTTAAGACGGTTCAGACAGCAGCCCTCGCCAAAGACCAACTCTCTGCCCAGAATCCGTGGCCACGGATTCAGCACTCCTGCCTGACCCCCCCAGACCTTCTGCTCCAGGAAACTGCCCCTAGAAGCCCTTGCCTCCGCCACCGCCAGGGCTCCCTCAAGACCTGTTTCCAGAGGGTGTGATGGATTAGGCTGCAATTCCAAAATACGGATTGGTAGTAAATCCAGCTTGAGCTTTATGTGTGGGGTAAAAGGAGGAATATACCACGGGACTGGGTAAACGAAAACAGCTTTTAGCTGTGCCTCAAAGCCAACCATTTTGCTACGGGGGCTTCCCGTGATGTGCGTTTGCTCTAAAACCTAGCATCACTCAATGCTACGAACTGGCTCCCTGTCCTTGGGCCGCAAGAACCCTTTGCTCAGACTCGGTCCAACGGTACTTGCCGAGAGGAATGGGGGAAAGTGCAGAGTGCAGAGCACCAGGCCTATCCCTGACCACAGACTCCACCCACGGTGGGATTTCTTCCACGCCCTGCCGCCTCTGAAGGGGCTGGATACACTAAATGGGAGCCAGAGTTTGCTCAGTGCTGAGGATGACTGGACGATGGCTTAACTCTTTAGGCCGCTTCCTGGCACTCACCCGGATAAGTAGATCTGGGCCTCCTCGTGCTTCACCAGTTCCCACAGGAGCTCCTTGTTCTCTCTGATCCGGTGCTGGACATAAATCTTCTCTTCCTGCAGGGAGAACCCCTGAGAGGTCAGGGAACCTCAGGCAATTTAGGCTCCCATCAGATGCCCAGAGAGCAAGGGGAAAGCAGGGGCTGCTCGTAATCGTCCCCTTCAGAAGCCCTTGAACCTGGCAGGCTCAGAATTGGGTTCCGGGTGCAATCGCACAGGAGCATAAAGGGTGGTATCTGGAACAATGGGAAGCTGTTCCAGGCACAACCTGGTGTCATGGATATTGCTACGGAGATACGCTGGGGTTCAGGAGTTGCACAATAAAAAGATACATACAAAGCAGGGAAAAAACAGTTCTTCCCCTTTTTTTATGCAATCACAGAAGCCTGGCTTTCCTCATACTATAACCTGGCATGAGCTCTCGTTTCTTTTTTTCCCTGGGCAAAATGAACAGGCTGCTAAGGGGCCTCAACCAATCCAACAACCGGAACGCCTCAGACAACGGCAGGCCAGCCATGCCTATGCAGAGGCTCCCCAGGAGTCCAGCCTCAGCACCAGAGTTCCTGGGAAGGTGGCAACGAAGGGAAGTATTTCAAACATGTGGAGTCACAAGGCCTGTTCAGACTATTTCAGAAAAAGGTCACACCAACTGTATGTTCTCAAGCAGCCGCCGCAGGAAGCTGGGTGTGGACACAGGGCTGCTCCTGTAATTGTTCTCTTCCCGGCCTTCTTCCGAAGACGTCTTTCTGACTGTTTGGCCAGAGCCAAGCTGCACGTTCAGCAGAAACACCCTGTGCCACCCCTTCCCGGCGGGCGTGAGCCACACATCAAAATACCAGTCCTGGGAGACCACAGGTTTGGCTCATCCTCCGGGCTTTAAAAGCACGCGCCAAAGGGAAGGAGATGGCCGGGAGACTCTTCTGCAGGCTGAGGGGAGGAACCATTCCCACCGGATGGCATGCAGAACTGTTCATTTTGCCCACTCTCCCTCCCTTTCCGACTCCTCAATGCCCATTTCGGCAATCCTGGCTGAGAAACACACACTTGCACCCTGGGCTCGGTGGTGTATGCGAACACCCGCACAAAGCTGCGCATGCGAGATTTACCTGATCCCGGGAAAAGGCCACAAAGAGCGTCAGGAGCCCCCTCTTCACCAGTTCTTCCCATTCCGCCTGGCAATAAAAATCTTTGGCTCTGTTTCGGCAACCGAAGAACAGACAGTTCTTTCCTGAGGCAAGACAAACGGGGACAACATCGGGAAGTGGCAAACTGAGCAGGAAGTGGGGCCAGGAGCAACTTGGCTTGTTCGATGATCAAAGCTATTTTAATCCCAGGGTCCTCCTGGGCAGAGCCATCATCCACATCACCATCTAAGGGAGGCTGACTGAGCATTGCAATCAATGTTACCCTGTGGACAGGGAACCGCAGCCAATCCCAGTTCCTGCCTGATCGAAGTGTGGACTGAACCTTCTGAGGGCATGTTGTGCAGTTAATGGCTGAAGCTGGAATAAAAGCAGCTGAACAGTCAGCATAGCAGCCATTCATGAGGCCTCTGACTTGGCACACAAGCAGAGACAGAAATATTACGGAGTTCTTCCACACGCCACCCCCGTTCAAAAGAGCATTTCAGAAAGTCCACAGCCACCCCCAGGGCCACCTACTGAAAATTACAGGTGAGATCACACAATACACTTCATTGCTGTTCGAGTTATTCTTGCGAGACTGATTTAAAGATCAACCAGCCAGACTTTTAGAAGTTTGCCTTGCCCCACGCAGCGACTTCACCTGTTCTGCCCTGGGCCACTCGCTCCTGTATTGCTGCTCTAAAAACTGCCACGCCAGTGCCAGGCCCAATCATGACCACCGGAGCGCCTGGCTCCGCCGGGAATTTCAGGGTCCCTTTCTTCACCCACAGAGGAACTCGCACCACCTCTGAAAAAGGAGAGAGGAGCCCATGTGAAAGGAAAGGAAACGAAACACAGGCCTGAGGTGTGCACAGTGCCTTAAATGAGCATCCGTTTGGGATCTTTGAAGAGAGAGGCAGAAAACTTTCTTTTTTAAAATGGTTTTTTTTACAATTTCCTTGTTTTGATAGTTATGAGTCACCCAGGGTTGTTAGGAGTTGGGCAGCACACAAATGTTTGACAGAGGAAGACTCGCCAACCACCCACCTACCCCATTCTGCAAAGCAAGGAATCCTCCTTTCCGCAGGGGTTTTGACGACACGAAAGCAGAGTAGCTTACCATTCTGTGGATTGAGAGAGGCCAGCCATGTGGAGCACAGGCCCCGCCGAGCTTTGCTGAGACAGGTCTTGTAATGCACCACAGCCAGGAGGATCTGAATCCGGTTGGGATGAGTCTGGGGGTGGGAGGTAGGGGTGGGGCAGAGAGAGAGAGAGAGAATGAGCACCGGACCCCGGATGGAGGCACCTGGCAGAACTGAACTCGGGCAGGGATCCTGGGGGAGAAAGTACCTGCTCCCTGAACAGCAGAAAAAGAACAGCATTCTTTCTAAAAAAAACAGCCCATGAGCAATGAGCTGTTTGGGGGGGCTGGCCAGACACAGGCAGAAAAACTCTCTCCGCGTCAGAGTTTTGGTTTTTTTGGTTCTGTGGGAGAAGTGAAGGAACCAGGGCAGCCCTTTATGCTTTTCAGCCCCGTGGATTCAAGGGACTCGTTCAGGAGAGGGAGTCAGTTACACTCAGCTGGCGCCACTTTCAGGAAGCAGGCAGGAGCACAGGGGAAGCAAGGGGGCTTTCCTCTCTCCTAGGCTAGGGTTCGCAGAAACCGGGAAACCTCGGGATTTCAGTTCCCTCTATCCAAGAATCAAAATCAACTTTGCTCAGACTGAATTTCTTAATTGCTTTGTGAGTTACACAATGGCAATAAAGATATTCTATTCTAATTCCAGGCCTAAATTCCTTTCAAAGCTTTATCTTCTCATTCAGGAAAGTACACACTGACTTGTTTGTATTCTTTCTCTGATTTAGATTCACTACAAGAATCCCTTATAAATGAAGGCAAGACTAAGGGGCAGCCTGGAATTATCTCAGGACAAAACTCAGACCAGCGCAGATCTAGTACGGCAGGTGAAGAATCAGGGACAGGATGGGGGGGGAACATCAATTTATTCCAAATCCATTTGGCATCAGTTCAAAGCACCCAGCAAACAACTCCCCCCCTCCAGCACCTGCGCTCTCTTACCAGCATTGAGGAAGCAATCGAAAAGGCCCGGGGCCTGACCTGTGGAGTGAGGTCTAGCAGGTAGTTCCATGGAATGGCACAAGTTGTGTGAGGGAAGTCACAGAGGACCTTGGGGAAGGAGGACAGGAATGGATGTGACTCGGGTAATATTCAACCACAGTAGAAAACCGTGCAGAAAAGGAAGCAGCAATATTTCCATGGCTGGAAAGGACTTTTCTGAAGCAGCTAATCCCGAGAGCGAGCCTGCTGCAGAGGATTGGGAGGTTTCTTTTTTTAATGGAACGAGCTCAGCTGGGGCAGAAAGTACGTGCAGAGGTCTGATGGTAAATGGTTCTGAGATCTCAAAAGGCAGGATTGACTGGATTTCTTCTCCCAACCCAGAGTTAACAGAGAAAAAAAAAATTACAGCCATGTAACCAAAAGGTGCAAAGCTATGTGAAGGGGAATGACTCCTGGGAGGCCTGAACTTCAAGGTGATTTTGATTAATCGAGGAACATGGTTGTGTTTGTTGACAGGGGACCAAGACAAACTGACCCCACAAAGTCTTCCAACCAGCAATCAGCAGCTCTTTCTTCCCCATCTGCCCGGATTCAGAAAGGAAGCTGGCTTAGCCTACCTCGAGTATGGTCCTGCGGGGCCGGTTGCAGTAAGCGTGAAGCTCCTCCTGGCCTTGGGCTGAGCTGAATTCCTGCAGCTTGCTTCGCTCTAGCTCATTTGGAGAGAAGTGGAACAGAAACTCGAAGAAGGAGCGACGAGGGACACACGTTATGTCAAGGCAGTGGGTCACCAGGTAACGGACAGTGGATGGCTGGGGCAGATGAGCAGGGAGAGAAGTGCCTGGAATGCAGGAGTCCAAGAAAAGCTACTGGATTAAAGCTCCTTGTAAAAAATGGGGCTAATCTCGCTTGTTTAAACACCACGACTTTATAAAAACTACCAATGGCAACTGGACTTTATCGCTTCTCCACCCTTTATAGAACCACCACCTTGAAATCAAGATGACAGTATTTTATCCCATTCAAAATGTCTGCTATAGAGCTGTGTTCATTTCTGCAAATCCTATCAATTAATTAATTAAAATTGGTCGGTTCATTCTCCTAAGATTTCTTTAACCAGATCCTGTCCAGAGAATTGCAAGGTGACCAAGATGACAGGATTCAGACGGGATCGCTCAGAACAAGAACGGGTCTGGCATTTGGAGGCACTAAAATTCTTTAGAGGCACCCAGAACACTTGAGACCCCTGGCCAGTCCTTAAATGCCAGCATTTCTGGTGCTCTTGGCCTGCAAGGAAGCCAGTTAGCTCTGCTCGTCCGGGTTGAGGTGGGCAGCCGGAGGGATTTCCCAGGCTCGCTCAGCTGCTGAGAGACTGGCGGCGGCAGGGAAAGGACTCTTCTGCCAACCAGGAGGAGGGGAGATGCTCCCATCTGCCTTGTGCCTGGATTGAAGAGACTGCAGAGGGAAACGCTTTATACCTGCCTCTGTTGGCCTCAACGTGAAGCAGGCATCTGGGTCCAGGCACAGGAGATCACAGAAAAGGCGCACTTCCTCAGGACTATTGTGTGGCTGGATCATCACAACATCACCTGCAGCATATCTGCCAGGAAGAGGCAAGGCCTGAGTCCGGGGTCCTCATTGGGGATCAGTTTCAGACACTCTCAGATTTCCTACTTTCTTTTAAGCCAAGCTGCCTTGGAAAGCTTGTTAGGGACTCGGGAAGCTGCCTGTCACCTGCTCAGTCATAGCAACTCTAAGGAGACCGGGCTGAGGGGAGGGGGGTGTTCCCTTGCCTGTCACTTGCCCTACCAGGGATTAACCTGGGCATTGAGTAATGGACTCTCCCTTCTTCGTCTAACCACAATAGATCCTCTTCTAACCCTTTCTCAGTGTGCTCCATTTGAGGACAGCAGCAAAATGAATCAAGGAAACTCACTCGATTCCAGAGCCAGTGATATCAAATTCAATAAGACGGACATCTTGGAAATGGGATTCTGATGTCACCCTCCGATTGGAAACCATCTGGGCACCGAAAGGATTCCTGTCCGATGGAACATCACTAAATGCATCCTCTGGTTGCAAAGTTGCCCTGCGGAGGTCACCAGAGGCCTCGTCCAGGAATTGAAAAGTGTACTTGGGTGGTAATCTGCAGAAGTCAGAGTTGGGATGATAAGTTCTCTTTCCTCAGCATGTGGGGAAGGCAGGAAGATTGCTGAGCAGCTGTGGAAAACCCATCCCTTTTCTCCCTTTGCCGTGCACAGGCGCCCAGTTCTATTTGGTTGTTTAAAAAGGGAAAACAGTTTCTATTTTATTTTAATTAATAGGTGCACAAAGGTTAACCCACATTCTGTATCAACTTTCCTTGTTGTTGTACTTACAGGACATCGGGGCTCATCACATGGAGGCCAGGAGGAAGAGGATACAGGGCTAAAATCTTTTCCCACAGACTCAAAAGCCAGGGGTCAGTGACCGCATCCGGTCTACAAAGAAATGAATGAGTTTCAGAACAGAACGCCTTTTTGTGTTCAGTCAATGGGGTTCAATACGGCAGAGCGGCCACATTCTCTCACTGGCTTCTCCAGCTAGGGTGGGGAAAGACGCCCTGCGGAGTCCCTGATGGTCACCACACTCAATGGGCTATTCGACTCAGCCATGCGACTGGGCAGGAAGCAGCTTTTGACGCCTCCATGAAATTGGCAGTGGGATTTTGACCAGGACCAGAAGAGTGACCGAGGGAGTGGAGGGTAAGAGATTCCCTGTGGTTTTTCAGAGCTCCCTAACAAGGAAAAGCCACCATATCCATCTCTTACCCCAAGTCATGCTGATCATCTCCCAGGGCTGCTGGCGCAAGGGGGCTGCCCCCAAGCTGAAGAAGCCGCCTGTGCAGTTTTTTGGCAATGAAGTTGAACCTGGACCAGGAAACAGAACAACACACTGAGCAGCAATTGAGGAATCGGGGGGGGGGGACTTCCAAAACCTCCATTCTCACAGAAGCAGAATGCAGAAATGAGTTACACAGCAGGAAGAGTCTTTTGGATCAAGGTAATGCAGGAAACCTCTTGCTTGACTGTGGACAATAACCTCGTTAAAAGCGTTTGGCCCGATAAACAATTTAATCTTATAGAAAAAAGCAGGATGCCGTAATGGGCAGGGTGGTGAAATGGCAATGTGTATACGTGTGCGGGTATGTGTGTGTGTGAGAGAGCGGGGAGGAATCTGTTCACAAGCAACTTATTGGCACAGCTGGACAAGGGCCCCAAACAGCGAACAGAGTTTGTAGTGGGGAGAAAAAGCTGCAGGAGAAAAAGTGGTCTGCAAATCTTGTTCAGAATATAGTGAATGCTTTTATTCAAAGACAATCAAAAAAGGAAAATGTCCCACTCATGTAGCATTTCAGTTACCTGTTTTTGTGCAACTCTACAGTCAAAATTTAGATCAGCCCTTTAGCTGATTCTGCCCCACATTTCTTTTGACAAAGCTCTAGAGTCCCAAAGCCTAGGCAGCAGCTCTGAATGCTGGAACTCCAGCGTGACAAAGAACTCTGACTAACGTGCTTGGCCTGTTAATTTCCCCAAGAGAGAAGCAGCACTTACTTGGGATATGAGGAATCCCCAAGCCCCAGAACAGCATAGTCCATCTGGCACAGGGAAGTGGGAGGTAAGTTCTTCCGGAATAGAAACTTCCAGAAATTCTGGAAAATTAAAGGAGCCCCCAAGGAAGACATTATATGGAAGCTTTTCCCCATAGGAACCTAATCCTGCTTGCCGCAGGGAATTTGGCTGTAGCCACGCTAGAGGGGAAACTAAAGCTGAATGGCAAGGACAAGAGAGGTCAGTGTTCCCAGGCTGCAGCCAGCCGCATTGAGCCACCCGTGCAAAAGGGCTCCGGCTCAGGGTGAAGACGTTTCCTAGGTCCAAATCAGAGGCGGGAAGCTCTGCTGCCAAACAATTTGAGCCCAATCAAGTAGCATGATCAGGGATGGAAGGGCTGTCTGGTCACCCTGCACCCTCCACCTCCCCAGGAACAAGGGGAGAGTTTCTGAACTGACCTTCATATTATCCGGAGGGTCGCCTTGTCCTGTGGTTGCACAAACAAATACCACCAGCGGCTCATGAATCAGGCTTGCCTTCCAAGAAGCCATGCAACACAGAGAGGGTCACAATTAGTTCCCAACAAAGGCCACCAAGGTTCTTTTCCTTCAGGAGAATCCATTTCATTGATGACCCATCTTTCCACCAACAAATTATATTTGGGGCAGCTAAGATGGCAAAAGCACCACTTGTTGAGATGGGCGGCTATTGAAATTAATTAAATCAATAAAAGTGAAACAAAAAGGCTAAAATGTAATTTAAAAATTAATAAATGAGAAAAGCAGCTCCCGCCCAATTCAGGAAAAAACATGAAAGGCCCGCCTGACCTCCTCTGGGTGGAAGCTGTCCCTTCTATAGACGTTCCAAGGGTGCATGGGTATGGGGCCGAGGGAGGGACCTCTTCCACAGATCTGACAGCTAAGCCACTTCATAAGCTAAGGGAGGACGATTTTCTATAGATATGTAGGCTGAAATCCCTGTTAAGACCCTGAGCTGCTACTCACCACCTGGTAGTCATCCAGGGCCTCAACCTTACAGTGGAAATGGCGTCGCTTGGCTTCTCGACCAACCCTCTCAGCAGTATCCTGGGCAGTTCCTGTCTGGCTGCCATAAAGCACAAGCATCTTCCGTTCTGCCATCTGAAGGGGAGCAGGAGGAAGACATCCAGTCATTAGGATGGAGGCACAACTTTCCCAATTTAAGAATACCACAACGGAATAAACAAGATACAGTTGTCAGTGGAAACAGGGGAAAGATAAAGCTGACTTTTCTCTTGACTTCAGCCCACCTATTTGCAGCGAGGCTTTCAGTTTTTGCATCCTGAACTTGGTGGAAACACTAGGCAAAACAACCACTGAGAATCTAGGCTTACCTGTCTTGATTAAAAAGGACCAACAAGTGAGGCCCCAAGGCTAAACATGGCCTGTTCTAGACTAAAGATTTGTCCTGCCAAATTACTGGTGTATAAAATGTATTTACTCTAACGTACGACATACACATTATGCTGTAAACCAGTCAGTCACATAATTGACATGGTGTAGAAGTATTTGTAGAGTGAGTGCCGTGTCCCTTATACGTAACTCTCATGTTAATAGAAGCTGGTCTTACATCTAGCAATTCCACACTAGACCCTGAAGGTTTTATGAAAACTGCCCTCCAGATTCATGATATCCGAACTAGAGCTCAGTCTTGCGTCCATGTTCACATTTCCACATAACACTTGAGGCCCCGTGCAAAGTTACAGGGGCTTTCCTTTTCTCTCTCGCACACACAGCCACTTCTACACAATAAACAACCCCTGAGGAGCTCTCAACTCTTCTCGGACGACCCTCCGGGCCCGGGGGCGGGGAGAGCAAGCGGAGCGCTCTGCGAAGGCTCGTGGGAAGCGCTGCCAACTCTTCTCTTCGGTGGCGCCGCTCCCTCCACCGGGGCCAAACGCACGTGCCCATTGGCTGGGTGATCGCGCCCCTCGCGCGTAAGGCCCGCGCCCGCCTTCGTCACCAGAGCGCGCCGGAAGCGCCCCGGCCGGCCCGCGGAGCGTCGGAGCCTCTGGCGGTGGCGCGGCGGCCGCCTCCGCTGCCCGGGCGCGGCGGGGATGCTGTTCTCGCTGCGGGAGCTGGTGCAGTGGCTGGGCTTCGCGCCGTTCGAGCTGCTCCTGCAGGCGGCGGCGCTGCTGGCGACCTCGGGGCTGCTGGCGCTGAAGGCGGACGGCGCGGCGGCCGGGCTGAGCTGGTGGAGCGTCTTCGCGCCGCTCTTCGCCGCCGACGGGCTGAGCACCTACTTCACGGCCATCGTGTCGGTGCGCCTCTTCCAGGACGGCGAGAAGCGCCTGGCCGTGCTGCGCCTCTTCTGGATCCTGACGCTCCTCAGCCTCAAGTTCGTCTTCGAGATGCTGCTGTGCCAGAAGCTGGGCGAGCAGAGCCACGAGCCGCTCTGGTACGGGCTGATCATGTCGCCCGTCTTCATCCTGCTTCAGCTGCTTATGATCCGCGCCTGCCGAGTCAATTAGCAGGAGGAGGCGCTTGCCCGGCACGGCCTTGGCAGGAATGACCGTGCCCCTCTGGACAGCAGCAGGCTGACCGGGACTGTCCTGGAAGACTCTCTCGACCAGCTGTGGCTGCTGACCTGCTTCCCAACACCGAGAGAAAGGACCGCAAGGCCTCTCCCCGCCCTCAAGGGTAACCCTTCTTGTGCGCCTCATCCCATTCTGCCATTGGACTCTGATTTCTGAGGGCCAGAAGATTTGGGCAAGTTCCGATTAAAATCAAGAATAAAAAATGTAGAGCAGTATTTAAGCCTCTTGCTTTTCTTCCCCAACACCGAGATTTTGTTTTTAAATGTTGAAAGGAAAGCTGAAATTATTTTAAAAAGTAGCTGACAGCAATGTTTGAAAAATGGCAGACAGTTTTATACATGATTCCTTCTGCAAGGGTATACTTCCAACTTAATTGCTAACTGCACACATTCAAAGTGAGCAGGGTTTCTTGTGCTGCTTCCTCTGCAAAAGAGAGGGCAAACTCCATTGAAACTGATGGCAGTAAAATTACAAGTGTGTAGCTGAAAATGAAGTGCTCATCAGATGCATCGCTGGGTCATAGTCCAGCAATGTGGATTGAAAGCTTTTCGCCTCCGCTACCATTCTAAAGTTGCACATTGTCAGGTGCTTGAACCAACTAATTTCAGGATTAAGGATTTTGATTTGGCTCATGTGGGCTACATGGAGAGATTTAGCTAATAAATGCCATGATCTGGATTGCTGAAGAGTGCCAGTAGAAAAATGTGAATAAAATATATGAGCATGTATCGCAGCCTTAAATATAGATATATAACGTGGATAGTTTGCTTCTGTGTGTAATTTCTTGAGTTAGGGCAATATGCTGGCCCACGGCCCACTGGAACATAATACATTAACCCAATTGCCTGGACTCTCACCACACTGACCCTAAAAGCAAATTAACCATATTTTAATTTGGCTGGACTAGTCTTGCAGGCAAACCTAGTACAGTCTTATACTCACATGGCAGCTTTGGATGCACTGTGTTCTCAGCAATAAGGGCCGATGCTGTAGGAAAGAAGTAACAAAATATTAAATCTGTGCTATATGATCAGAGCTCAGACGTGAGCAAGATTGGGCGTGTTTTGCTTAATGTAAATCTCCCTGACTTCCAAGAGTTCACACCAACCAGAGAACCACAGACAGGCTGGGCACGTCGTGCAGGACTGGTCTTATGGTTTAGAATCCCTGGCAAATGTGTGGATTGAATATAAGGAATATAAAAGTTGGGTGAATGAAGTCACAGCTGTGCCCACGGGGGGGGGGCTGATCTGGGCTCTGAGGGAAATAAGTGAAAAGTCCTCCTGCCCCATGGCAGACCCCGCAAAGGAGGAGGGCGCCAGGTGGGCTTTCCTTCTGCCGGGAGGGGGATGCTTCTCCTCTGGGCTCCTGGACGGGCAGGAACCGGGAAGTGGCCCCAGCGCCTATCTGAGAGTACGTGGAGACGGCCAGACACGGCCCAGCGATGGCTGGGATAAAACGCAGGAATGGGGCTGGGTGGGGTGGGGTAAGCGCCTCAGAAGGGACCCCCGAGTCCTCAGGCTGCGAAGCCAAAGTAGCGCTACCGTATCTCAGGCACGCTTCGCCCACGGAAGGGATGCAGCTGAGGCAGGAAAAGGCTGCAAAGCCGCTCCCCGGTGGCCCGCTCTTGTCTGACTCCAATTCCCAGAATCCCCAGCTAGGATCCCGACCAATGGTTTGCGACGTTCTCCAAAAGACGCGACTCTTGCCCAATAGACCTCGCTTGCGCGTAGAGGGCGGGGCTTCTTGCGCAGCGCAGAGCGGGAAGGGACGCGTGGATCCTTCGACGTGATTCTACGTTGCCCTTGCCCTTAGACCCGGGCGAGGCTTCCCGCACAGCGCTGTGCCGCGCCCGAAGCGCCTTCCGCCCAAAGAGCGGCATTCCGTTCCAAACCCTCGTTCCAACGAGCGTTCTGCTTACCTAACGAAAAGGCCAATGGGAGCCCGCAATCGGCTGGGCGGGGCCGTCCCGCCTCCCGTCCAATGAATGACGCTACCGACTGAGACGGTCGCGGCTGCCACGCTGAAATTCAGCAACGCCCCGAGAGCTCGCGATAGGCTAATCGAGACCGTCTTTCGTGCGCCGAGGCGGGATTCCGCCGCGACAGCCAATCGGCGCGGCCGTTCCGCCAGGGCGTCTTCTCCGCGGCCGGTGGGCGGCGCTATCTCCGGCGGGCCCAGGAAGTCAGCAGCGGCGGCGGCGGCGCGGCCGGTCGGCCAGAAGGGAGGCGAGGCTGCCGCGCCCGCAGCTGCCGCTCGCCATGAGCAGCCTACGGGAGGGCGCGGCGGCGGCCGAGGCGCCGGCCTGGAAGCTGGCCCTTCTCGAGCGCAAGCGGGCCAAGCTGGCGGCCGGCATGGGTCTCGAGCGCGGCCGGGGCCCTGTTCCGCGGCTCGGCCAGGGCCCCGACGGACGCGAGGCGGGGACGGTGGTGGCCGAGAGTCTGGGCCCGCTGCGGGAGAACCCCTTCATGCGCCTGGAGAGCGAGCGGCGGCGGCGGCGGCGGCGGGGCGCCTGCGATCTCCCGGGGACGGCCGCCGCCCCCTCGCCCGCCGCCGAGTCCCCGGCCCTGGCGCAGCTGCTCCAGCTCTACGGCGCCGTGCCGGGCATCCGCACCATCCGCGCCGACAACATCCTCATCATCGAGTCCAGCGACCCGGCGGATCCCGCGCAAGGCGGCGGCGGAGCGGGAGACGCGCCCGTCCGTCAGAGCCCCCTGCGGGACCTGCTCGCCCGTGGCGGCCCTCCCGTCACCGAGATCCGCGCCGCCCAAGTGGTCGTCTACGAGCCCGAAGCGCCGCCGATCGCCGCCGGCCCCGATTCCGGTCTGGTCAGCCGGCTGCTGCAGAAGTTCGACCGCGCGGCGAAAGGGAAGAGGCGAGGGGGCGAGGACCCCGCCCCGCCGGTGCCTCCGCCGCCCCGCTCCCCCGCCGCCTGCCCGGACCTCCCGCCCGGCGCTCAGGGCGGCGGCGGCTTTTTCTTGCAGAAGATCGGCTCCAACTCCTTCGTGGTGAATCCGCGGGGACACCGCCCCGGCCTCTCAGCCGTTTCTGCGTCCGGTAACGGGCGTGCGAGGGTGGAGGAGGACGCTCCGCCTTCTCCCAGCGGTCCCGATCAGCGCGGGGCGGCCGCCGTCTCCAAAGCCGTGCCATCCTCCCAGAGCCCCGCGGCTTCGTTCCCGCTGGAAGCTGAGGCGGGGAAGCCAAAGCCCAAGGCCACCGCCGCCCTTGAGGCCTCGCCACAGCCGCCGCCAACCAGTGCCACTCCGGACAGTCCGTCCGGGCCCAGCCCGCTCTTCAGCTCCAGCTGCTCCTTTGAAATCTGCCCCACCCCAAAGCCGGACCTCGCCGCCATCCCTGCTCATGACCTGCAGGCGCGCGCCTTGGCCAGCTTGCGGCTCAGCTCCCGCAACTCCTTCCTCTTTGTGCCCCAACGGAAAGCGGAGCCCCCTGGCCCTCCGAAGCCCCGGCCGGCCCCTTCCTCTTGGCCCAGAGAGGCCCTCCCGTCCGAGCCTCTGGTGCCCGTGACTGACATAGATGAGGACTTGGTGGCAGCCCTGCCTCCCTTGAAAGTCTTGAGCCCCAGGCTGGAGGGCTTCCATGTGCCCCGAGAAGGTGGCCTGGCTCGGGAGATGCTGGAGCCTGCCTTGCCCACCTCTGGGCCCTTTTCCACTGGTTATGTCACTCGCAGCAGCACCTTCACCGTAGTGCCCAAAAGGAAGCTCCCCACGGCCGGCCTGGAGCCCTTCAGCGGAGCCTGGCTACAGGAGGAGGAGGAGGGAGAGGACAGAAGCCAAAGGGAAGCCCAGATGGGAGCCCTCCAGCAGGAGGAATCGGGTCGCATCAAAAAACGGTACCCCACTGTCAATGAGATCGAAGTGATTGGCGGCTACCTTTCGCTCAATAAATCCTGCATGAGCAAAACGGGTATTCGGCGCAAAAAGGTAACTAGTGGACACCTGTGTTGACCAGTCCTATTTCTGTTACGCTGGATTTTTGCAGTGTGCGGAGGTGAGCAGGATTTGACCAAAGAATGCTGGGCCACTGTTGGGCAACTACTGTAGGGCCTCTTCATCTCTTACGTTCTCTAGGGAGGCTCAGGACCCTTCATGCCAACGGTGGATTAAGCTGCCTGCAAGTGCCCAGGGAACATAATGTGCTACTGTTCCCCTAGTAGCTGCTCATGGTGTAAATAGGCCAGACTTTAATACGAGTGCAGAGTTAGCTGTGTGAAATAGCAAACAAGAACTTGGAAAGGTTTTGCAGGCTTGATTTCATCCATCCACTGTGGATTGTAAGGAAGGGACCCTCCTTGTCCCTGGGTGCTTTGGGGCTGTGGCATTTTGGCAACTGGTGATTTTAGTGGGGGTGGATCCTATATATAGGTATAGTCTGTATGTACAGATCAGGATGGGGAGCGTCATTCAAGGTTCAGGATGACACTATAAAGAGGTCTGGCAGAGGCCTGACGTGACTGCAGAGCAAATGTGGCTTCCTATCTTTTCACACTCAACTGCAAGATTACACCTGCTTAGAAACTGATGGGAGATGCAGGTCAATTGTTTTGGACTCTTAATCAGCAACCTTGGCCAGTGCTAGGCTGGGGTCACTTTTCAAACCCCCAACCAAGCAGAGCCTGTTTTCTTCTGATTCATGCAGTTGGCTTACCATTGGTACAGATTCCTCTAACAGGGTGTGGCAGACACAGGGTGGAAAAGTGAGGCCAAGTGATCAAATGATTATGCAATATCAAGAGTCAGGCTGGAGGAGAAGAGATGGTAATTATTTATGTATATATTTCCTTGTAGCTCAGGTTTCCTTTGAGACATTGCTGCACTGTTTCTTAGCTATCAAAATCCTTTTTTTTTTACGCCGAGGCTTTTCGTAGTGCCACCTTTTTGAGAACTAGTGGGAATTTGTCCTTCAGTCGGTTGCCTGTTGAGCTCCCCCTCCCTTTCCAGCTGTGGAAGGGCTTCCCCCTGTCCTGGCTGAGGTTGTCTTTTATATTTCAAAGTCGTTGGAAGGAAAGCGGCCCCTGAGGAGCCCTTGTGCTGCTTTTGTTCGGCCCCTGCAAGGCTCTTGTCAGTTACTGGCTCTTGGCCTGGGAGCTCCGGTTGCTGTCAACAAAGGAAATACAGGGGCATTGATAAGAAGGTGCCGCTGGAAGAAGAGCTGCTGAACATGGCCTGATGATGTTCCTGTCAGAATAAAACATTCCTGGAAATTAATTGATGTCCACAGGTTACCTGCTAACCAGAAAATGGCTTGCCAACTTCAAGGAGTAGTAGTTTCAAAGAACCACAGTTATTTCTTGGTGATTAAGATTGCCTTTCTTCCTGTGGTTCACGTTGCCATTGTAGTTCTTCGCAGGAGCCTCTGTAAACCAGGTGAAGGTGAAAGAGAGGGGCCGTCCAGAGTCTTTCCAGACTGAGGATGCATTTGGACCCAAGACCCCTCACTCCTGGTCAACCATCTTAATCTCCATGCCACACTGGTGCAAGGCTGTTTAAAGTAAAACTTGGTGGGCTGTGGAAGTTGGCCATGTATTTTTTTTAAAAAAACAAGGTTTTCTGACACTTCAAGGAAGTTTACTTATATATATATAAGCAAACTTTCTTGAGGTGTCTGAAACTTGTATCTCCCCTGTGGCACCTGATCCTGCTCTGCTTGCAGCATCCTTCAGGGTGTTGATTACAGGCTAAAAGGCAATCACTTTTTGCGCAGGGACATTGTGGGATTTTGGCCCAGTTTGTGTTTGCATTTGAATTGCAAAATGATGATCCAGGGAGATAAATAAGGAGCTCCTGGAAGTGGTGGTAAGAACCAAGGAAACATTGGCTTCTGCACTGATGATGACAAAATAGTTTCCCATTAGATGCTGTAGATGCTACACAAACTGAAAAGCTTGTACAAATCAATTTCACAAGCTTTAAGCTCAGTGTTTAGACGGCTTTGCTAAAGTTCTAGTTCTGTCTTGTCAAAACAATGCAAATGGGACTACGAGGCATTTGGGTATTGCTACAAGGACCTCAGGCTGCAGTTTGTAATGTATTTTCTGTAGCTGAGAAGAGACTCTGGAGGACTAGGCTTCTGCTTTTTTTCTTTTCAATGCTTGAAATTGGATTAAAAGGTTAAATGGGCATTAGTGAGCATTGTAGCCTTAGCTTCTCTGTTGATGTTTCTTTTAAACAAGATTGCTTTTCTTTTGGAACATAGTTACTTTATTTTTAAAGTGGCTGCTTTAAAACAAGATTCTTAGTGCTGACTGTGATGATGATGAGGTGAGGTTCTAAAATGGAGCAAAAATTATAGTGTTTGGCCGAGTGGTTAAGGCACCAGGCTAGAAAGCAGGTGATGCTGTTTGAGTCCCGCCCTAGGCTTGAAAGCCATCTGGATAACTTTTGGCCAGTCCGACCCACCTCACAGGGTTGTTGTAGTGGGGAAAATAGGAGGAAGGTGTGTTGGATATGCTCACTGCCTTGAGTTATTTGTAAAAATAATAAAGGTGGGATATAAATATGGCAAGGAGGCCTATGAATCTGCTTGTATCCTCTTGGGAGATTTCCTGAAGCATTCAAAAGTGTTCCGTCTCTGTTGATTCCCACTGAAAGATGAGGCTTCACTGGACTTTGACGTGTCACCTATAGAAATCAAATAAAAATACTGAAGGATTCCAGCTGGAATAAGCTAGAAATTTATCTCACTGAAACCTGAGGTAGAGTTGCAAAACAGCTTCTTACTGTTCTTTCAGATGAAAATATCTTTCAATGAGACCAGCTTGCAAACCACGTTTGAATATCCATCCGAGAGCTCCTTGGTAGATGAGGAGGAGGAGGAGGAGGAGGAAGAAGAGGAGGAAGAATACGCCACAGAAGTAGATGAGAAGCCTGCCTTTCTCATTCCTCGTCCAACCACTACTGTCAACTCCAACCCAGTCAACTCAGGTAAGCCTCTCATTTCAAAACCTATTTTGGCTTGAGGCTATGGCAGATCCCCAGTTATGACATCACTTTTGGAACTGGAGTTGGGCGAGGCAGCGACGCTGTTATCCAGCACTTTCCACATTCAGGAACAAACTGGATATTAAGCCCCTGTAGTTAAAACAGTAGCATCCCCAGTGAGATAGAAGGAAAAATTTCAGAAAGTTGAAACTTTAAACTTCCATGTCCTTCTTGATGTCCAGTAGAGCTTTATCAGAGGATAATAACTCTTTCCAGCCTCAAGAGTGGAATCTCTGCCCGTGCCATCCCATCTTACTCTTCCCCTTTTGCTTCTTCTGACTCCGGGCGCTCATCCTTTTTGATAGGTCTGTCAGGTTACACTCCAAAGCACTCCTTGGGCTTCAACCAGTGGCAGGAGCAACAGCACAAGAAGCCGCTTTCAAGCATTGGAGCCTTTCTACAGAACACTGACAAGCCGGACCAACGGGTCATGGTAAGACTTGGGCAGGCGTGCGTTTGTCCTGGGGGGGGGAGGTATCGGCGGGTGGCAGCTTCGTAAACTTGTCTGCAGTAGAACAAAGCAGAGGTAGCAGGCAAAGTTCTGCACTTGCAGCAGCTCAAAAGAAGGCTGGTGCTACAGGCAAGATTCAGCATCAGCGTCATTCCATCTTTGAATGGATGCCCTTTCTAGCCAATGGGGCACGGTGCTTTGCTTCCTTGCATCGCTCTTCTCTGGAAGAAAAGCAGCATGGCAGCTATCTTTGTCTCCTCACAGCTCACCCCTGCCGAAAAAAGCCACCTGTCTGACTTCAGTAGCGAACCGGCCCTCTACTTCTGAGTCCTGAGCGCAGGCGGAAGAAAGATGTCCTTGGCACCCTTGCCCCGCCAGAAGAGACAAAAGGTGGCACGCAAAGCCAAACTTCTCTTCCCTCATCAGGTACTGAGATGCCCCGGAGGGCTTCACGTTCAAATGCACCTCTTGTTTCGGCAGCTTGGGTTTTTTACCTGCAGCCTTCCTGTTCTGAGACAAAAACGCCAGAGGTGCCCAGATGCTGAATGGGCTGCCAAATGCTCAGATTGCAGTTGAGCCACTAGCTGCTCCCTCCGGCCAGATACGTGCAAGGTGGCTCAGCAACGAGCTTGAGCAAGCTGCAACCTGATGGGAAATATTGTCCGGGAACTCACCTTGGGGAAATCATGCTCCAAACACTTAGCAGAAGCTTTTCAGCTGAGCAAATAGCGACAAATACTCTTGCCTTCAACAGACTAACTGTACTAGTGGACTCTGTTAAAGAAAATTCCAGTTCCCAAAGGGCCAATCTCAAATATGTGCCCTAATATGATGCTTGCATTTCTGTGACCAAATCGTGCAGAAGGTCAGCTGTGCAGCAGTTTCTTAGATGCATCTTGTGGCAACTGGAATCCTGTAGAAAGCTGGCAATTTGTGATTCTTAGTCTTTTTTGAGCTGATCTTTGGTGCTCACATTTTCCTTGCCAGATCCAAAATTTTGGTAACAGAGGCTTTAAGAGTTACTGTGTCTGAATGAAGCTCTAGGTCAGATGGCCAATCCTTCACCTGCGGTGCCACTAAATGCTGCCTCATAGCTGGGGGCTTTTCCTTGCCCAGCTCTTAGAGCCAAGTTTTTCAGCACTCAGACTCGGCTTAAGTCTGAATCCCAGGAAAATGGAGGGAGACTCCTGGATTTCTGATCCTTCCTCTCCAATGATAACCTTTTGCTATCATATTTTCCAGAAAGCAGCTGGTCTGGTCATCTGGAGGAGGATTATACTGATTAATTGGCTAGCACTGCATTCAGGTTATGGAAACCAGAGTAAACACTGTCATTAGCATTTCAGTAGCACTCCAGGCAAGAGCAGAATGTTATTTATGTTATGGGGCTCGGCCACATGAAGTCTCCTGTGAAAGGAGCAAGACCTGGAGAGTAGGTGTGTGTCTTCTTTCTGTTTAGTATCTAAAATCAAAGCAAGCTAATTCACTGTTGTATATTTTGCACTTCTTTATTAATGGAGGAAGCTAGGGCTTTGATCTTACACTCCACTGGATCTAGCTGGAGAAACGAAACTGTTGTATATGTTCCTCTTCCGCCTTTGAATGCTGTCACTTTGGGCTTCCCAGGTTCATTAAACCACACAAGTGATTTCTTCATGACTGTTGTTGGGTGATTTATTTGGCTATTTTACGCAACTGGTATATCAGCGTGCACAGAATTGCAACATGAACCTGCAGTTGCATCCCTGTCTTACCAACTCTAACCTTCAGTTGCAGATTCCTATAGTATCTGGCCATTTTGCTGGATTCATGATTGGGGGAGCTGTGAAAGCATAGAAGGTTGGAGGAAAAGAAGGCCAGATGGTGGAGACAAATCTCTATTCACTAGGCAAAAATAATTGGGCCTCAGGTGTCGTTGAGCCCAGGCCCAGCCTGCTTGTAGGCAGAGCAAACAAGGCAACGGGAGGATGCCCGTAAAGCCTTCCTTGCTGTTTCTATGTACCTTCCTCTGCTGCGAGGGACGGCTTCCGCCTCCTGTACCTGGTGCTCCACTCCCCACCCCCTTCACTCTCCCTGCCCGGCAGGAACCTCTCACCATTTCCAAGTTAGCTCCAGAGCCAGAGATGCCATGGGCAGCCCAAGGCAGCAGAGTAGCCCTTTGTGTACATTACATCAGTCAAATGTAACACCAACTTCCCTCGGAGCTCAGGGTTGCCTCGAACTGCGAGATGGGCAGCAAATAAATTGAATAAATAAAAATGCCACCTCCCATCCAGACCTGGCTGGCTGTGTGTCCCAAAGAAAGCCAGGCAATGGGACCACCTGCTTGGTGATGCAGCTGCTGGAAGCCCCTTTCCCTCCTGCTGCCTGCCTGCTTTGCGGTGATTGGGGTAGGGGAAAGGGGCGAGGGGAGCCTGCCAGGCCCTTGCCACCCCCCCTCCGCCCCATCCCCCACAGTGGAAGCTGCACCAGGCGTCTTTGGGGAAACCCATCAGCTTTATTTGGTGCTCCCCCCTCAGATCTCCTTGGCAGGGAGGCTCTTGGACTCGGTGGCCTTGGCCAGGTTCCCGGCTTCCTTCTTCAGCACGTTCAGCAGCGTCTGCGAGCTTTCCAGGACCTGGGGCGGGCGGGAAAGGATGCCTGGTCACGCCGGGGCGGCCCGGGGCGGGCGGGCGCGGGAGGTCCGGGGCGGGGGCCGTCTCACCTTCATGTAGGCCGCCTCGGTCTCGGCGATGGTCTTGTCGAACTCGTTGCGCGTGGCCATCTTGTGGGCCAGGGTCTCGTTGATGCGGGCCAGGCGCTCGGTCAGCACGCGGAGGTCGCCCTGCAGCTTGCCCTTCTCCTCCTCCTCCTGCCGGATCTGCCGGCTCAGCTCGTCCCTCTTGGCGCAGAGCTCCTCGATGCCTGCGGAGGGCGCCGCGGCTCAGCGCTTCGCGGGAACGCCGCCCCCCCCCACTCCTCCCCCACGCCCCCGCCGCCGTCCCCGCCGCTTACACTTGACCAGCTCGTTGTTGTAGCTCTGCAGCGCCGCGCCTTGCTGGGTCATCGNGTGCTGGCGCGGCACGGGCTGCTGGCGGCGCTGGAGGAGTGGCTGCTGGACGTGCTGCAGCGGGACCTGCAGGCCCGGCTGGCGCCCGAGTTCTGGAGCCGGGCCGGGGGGGAGCCGCCATGCTCGCGGCGCCTGCTGGAGGCCTTCGGACTGTTGCGCCGCCGCCTGGAGCCCTACCTGCGCGGCCTGGGCCTGCTGGAGGAGTGGGCGCGGCCGGCGGGGCGCTGCTGCCGGGGCGGCCCGCGCGAGAGAGCCGGGGCCCTGCTGCGCGCCGTCCTCTTCTCCGCGCCTCCCGCCGACTTCCGCGAGGCCGTGCGCCGCTTCTACGGGCGCAGCTTCCGCATCTACATGCGGCAGCGCGGCGGCGGTGTGGAAGAGGAGGCGGCCGGCGCGGGCTGCGGCTGCGGGGAGGAGAGCTGCTGGTGCCCGCTGGCCATGGAGCAGTTCCAGCAGCTGAACGCCATCCTGTGGGTACCGGGCGGGCGCGGGGCGCGGGGCGCGGAGCGCGGGTCGGCGGGACGTTTGAGCAGGGTCTTTCTGCCCCCGCAGCCACGAGCTGGACCTGCTGGAGCGGGTGAGCGCCGACGCCGTGACCCACGTGCTGCACGGGATGCTCGAGGAGCGCGTAGAGCGGCGCTGCCGGGGCGAGTACGAGCGCTCCTTCCTCGCGGAGTTCCAGGAGGTAATAATAATGATGATGATAATAATAATAATAATGATAAAGTTGGAAGGAACCTTGGAGGTCACCTAGTCCAACCCCCTGCTCAGGCAGGAAACCCTATACCATTTCAGACAAATGGCTGTCCAGTCTCTTCTTAAAAACTTCCAGTGTTGGAGCATTCACCGCTTCTGGAGGCAGGTGGTTCCACTGGTTAATTGTTCTGCCAGTTAATAGTTCTGTCAGTGTGGGCTAGTGGGCGCCCGGGGAGGGGGCGAGGGGCAGCCGATCTCCCTGCCCTCCCTGTTCCGCCTCTCCCGGCCCGCTGACCCTCCTGTCTGAGGGGTCGCGCCTTCTCTGCCCTGCCCCAGTGGATCGAAAAGGTGATTGGCTGGCTCGGCGGCGTCTTTCTGCGAGAGAGCGCCGGGGCCCCGCCCAGCCCGGCGGCCAGCAGCAGTCTGAAGCGGTGGCAGCGCCACGTCCAGAGATTCTTCTACCGCCTCTACGCCGGGATGCGCATCGAGGAGCTCTTCGGCATCATCCGGGGTGAGCCCGGCTGGGAGCCCCCCCGCCCCCCACCCTGCCCAGGCCTGTCCTGAAGCACGGCCACCCTTCTTCACGCTCCCGCGGGCTGCCCTGGTGTCTGATGCAGATTTCCCGGAGTCGAAGCCGGCAGTGGAAGACCTGAAGTATTGCCTGGAAAGGACCAACCAGCGGCAGCAGCTCTTGACCTCCCTGAAAAGCGCCTTGGAACTGCGGCTCCTCCATCCCGGTGGGTGGCTTCGCTCTCTCCTGCGGCTCTGAAGGAGCACTAAAGCCGCCACCCCCCCCCCCCCCCCCCCCCCCCCCCCCCCCCCCCCCCCCCCCCGCCCCCCCCCCCCCCCCCCCCCCCCCCCCCCCCCCCCCCCCCCCCCCCCCCCCCCCCCCCCCGCGGCTTGCTCTCAGCCTCCCTGAGGGATCTGGCATTTAGGTCCCCCCCTCCTCTCTCTTTCAGGGGTGAACACCTCAGACATCATCACCCTTTACATCTCTGCCATCAAAGCCCTGCGGGAGCTGGATTCTTCCATGGTCATCCTGGAAGTGGCCTGTGAGCCCATCCGCAAATACCTGAGGTGAGAGGGGCCGGCTGGCGTTGGCACCTCCCTGGCTGCCCTGGCTTGCTTTGGCCGATGCCGCGTCAGGCGGTAGACCATAAGCCACTGCCCCCCCCCCCAGGACCAGGGAGGACACCGTGCGGCAGATTGTGGCAGGTCTGACGGGGGATGCGGAGGGGTCGGCTGACCTGGCAAACGAGCTCTCCAAAGCTGACCCGGTGACGTTGGAGAACGGCCAGGAGAGCGAGGACGACGGCTCCGAACCCGAGGACTGGCTGCCCGATCCGGTGGAGGCCGACCCAGGTGGGCTGGGGCTGCGGTTGGGAGGTGGGCCTGCGGGAGGTGGGCCTGCGGTGCTCCCGGCCTCGGCCCACGCGCCCCTTCCTCCTAGCAGGGAAGTCCAGCTCCAAGCGCCGCTCCTCGGACATCATCAGCCTGCTGGTGAGCATCTATGGCAGTAAAGACCTCTTCATCAATGAGTACCGCACGCTTCTTGCTGACCGCTTGCTGCACCAATTCAGTTACAGCGCCGAGAGGTGAGGCCCAAGGGGTCCCGCTGCTGCGCAGAGTCCCCTGAGGCAGGGCCCAAGCCCCAGCCTCGCCAGCAAAGGCCGCCCTTCCCCCTGCTGCGGCCAGGGATAGGAAGGATGGCAGGGGTCCTTCCCGGCCACCCCTCTGCATGAGCTGCCGGTAGAGGGTCTCCTCTGCAGAAGTGCGGGCCGTGTTGTGAGCAACAGTCCTCGTTGCTTCTTGCTTTAGGGAAATCCGAAACGTGGAACTGCTGAAGCTGCGTTTTGGAGAGGCCCAGATGCACTACTGCGAAGTCATGCTAAAAGTAGGTGCTGCCTATGGAGATGTTGTGGGACCACCCTGGCCCCTCCAAATGCTGATTTCACTTGGCTGGAAGTGACAGGCCCCATTGTGGCCTGTCCAGCTGAACTCGGACATCCCAGTTCCTTCCACCTTTCCCATGCAGGACATGGCGGACTCTCGGCGCATCAATGCAAACATTCGTGATGAGGAGCAGAAGCTGCCTGAGCAGGAAAGGCCCCCCTTCAGCCTTGTGGCCATCATCCTCTCCAGTGAGTTCTGGCCCCCGCTGAAGGAGGAGAAGCTGGAGCTCCCAGGGCAGATCAAGGAGGCCATGGAGGCCTACGCAAAGAAGTACGAAAAGCTGAAGGTAGGAGAGTTCTCTGTCTGCAGGAAGTTCAGCCATGGGCCTCTTCTACAGCTGGTAGCCAGCAACAAAGGAGGCCTTCTGTCTCTCCTCCGGGTTCAGCCTAGCTCTCTTCTAGGATTTGGCTGTTCCTTTTTCCCATCTGCCTCTCCCTTCGCCCAGGACATCCTGTGGTGCGATGGCTGGGCCAACAGCCAGGAGCTTCTGGTCCTTCAGCTGAGTAACCATAAGGCTCTCTCGTGGCTTCTTCACAGGCCATGAGGACCTTGAACTGGAAGCATCACCTGGGCTTGGTGAACCTGGAGGTGGAGTTGGCGGACCGCACACTCTCCTTGTCTGTGTCGCCGGTGCATGCAGCGGTCATCCTGCACTTCCAGGGCAAAAGTAGGTCTCCTGGCTCCATGAAAGAATGCCTCTAGCTTCTACCCTTCCCCCACAAAGGGATCTCCCAGTCTTCCAGGGAAGGGCCTGCAGATATGTCTGCATACATGTGGGACGCATGAGCCAGGCGTGGGGGAGGGACGCACATTTGGCAGTGTCAAGATAGAAGGAGGGAAGGTTTCCTATCAGGAGATCCTCCTTGTTCGCCCCAGATGCTCGGAGAACCGGTCTTGGGCCTCTCTATGCAAAATGCTGCCTCTGCCCCACTCTTGTGTCCCTCCTTGGGGACCCTTCCTTAGGCGGCACTGCTACCCTCGAGCTGAGGCCCTAAGCAGGGTGGGTGCCTCCTTTGCAGGCACATGGACCTTGGAGGAGCTGAGTGAAGCTCTGAAGGTGCCAGCAGCCTCCCTGAGGCGCAAGATGACCCTCTGGCTGCAGCAAGGGGTGCTGCGGGAGGAGCCCCCTGGGACCTTCACGGTGATCGAGGAGGAGCTGAAGGACCAGGCCGAGAAGGTGGTGCTGATCGATAGCGATGAGGAGGGGGATTCAGCCATGGCCTCTCAGGCGGACCAGAAGGAGGAGGAGCTGCAGGTGCTGGTCCGGGGAAGGAGGCTTCCCTCCATGAACCAGGGCTAAGGAGGGAAGGCCGGAGGGCAGCCGGGCTCCAGGCACTGGCCTTGAGTGATCCGCCCTTGTCCAGGCACAACAGTGGCCTTCCAGCTGAGGGCTGGCAGGATCTTAGAGGCACCTGAGCAAGAGCCCTGCTTTGTTCTGATCCCTGCCTCGGCATTGTTTCTGTGTCCTTGTGCACCCCTTTGCAGCTCTTTTGGACCTACATCCAGGCGATGCTGACCAACCTGGAGTCTCTCTCCCTGGAGCGCATCCACAGCATGCTGAAGATCTTTGTGATGACGGGCCCCATGGTGACTGAGATCGACATCCAGGAGCTGCAGGTCTTCCTCCAGAAGAAGGTCCGGGACCAGCAGCTCAGCTACTCGGGGGGTGTCTACCGCTTGCCCAAGAGTTGTAACTGAGCTGTCCATTCCAGCACCTGATGGGCTGAGAGATTTGGGCCACCCTCAGACTCTGGCCTGCTGTGCTGCCTTGCCTCGTCTTGGTGCAGGTGGCCACTGGTGCGTGTGTGTGTGTGTGTACACAGCCCAAGGGACTGCTAGCAAAACATTTGTTTTGATGGATGTTCTGGTTCATAATAAAGTGGTTTCCCTCTGAGCCATTGGGACTGCGATGTATTTTTTCTCTGTAAATCCGGCTGGCTTGCTCCCTCTTGCAGCTCGGTTCCTTGCCAACGTTTCCCTCCAGCCCTTCTGCAGAATATCGGGAGAGACGTGGTTGGCTGGACGGTTCTCCCTTTCTTCTAAAGGGCCTGGCCCACACCTACTTCTTGCCAGCGAGTACAGCCTCTTAATTGACATGATACCGGAGAGGGGGGGGAAGGGACGAAGCTCTGGGGAGCTCCCTTTGCCAAGGGCCGTGGTCTCCCCCTCAGCCTCTCTGGGGAATCCCAGGAGCTGCGATGTGGCCCTTGGCTCTGGGAAGGAAAAGGAAAGCGGCACCGGTTCTCTTGGCCAGGAGGGCTTCGGTTGCTTGTAGACACGAGCATCAGCAAAGCCTTTTTGAAGTCCCCAATGCCTGCCACAAAGTGCCGATTGCAGCTGAGATGGAGAGGGCTGGCTGAGAGGGCTCCGAGGTGTGGATGCACTTCATGGAGGAGGAAAAGAAGACCTGGAAAAAGGGACTGGAGAACCACCGGCTGGTAAGTGACAGAGGCAGCCAGTCTTTCTGAGGCTTCCTTGGGAGGAGGGGGGGGCACTGTGGCTGCTGGGCTGGAGAGGGGCCTGCTGGCGCTGCCCATTGGCCGACAAACGTTCTGGGGCCTTGTGAGGTCACAGAGGCTCCCTTGGAGCTCCTGCCTGGCTGGAGGCCTGGCGTTTTCAGGGCTCCTGGGGATGGTGAGAGGTTGGGCTCAGGGCTTCAGGATGCAACTGGCCTGCCTGTTCATCGTAAGCGTCCTCTCCTTGGCTTCACGTGAGCAATGGGCCCGATCATCCAATGCGGGTTTGGGGCTGGGAAGAAAGCCTGGAGCTAGACAGGCTGCAGAGTGTTAGGGCTCTAAATCCGGGTGCGCTTGTAACCCCCGTAGGCACCAGAATTTGAGGTCATATCTGTAAGCAGTCCACAACTGGAGGGGGAGACAACACACAAAATATAGATTTGGGAGGGGGGAGGAAAGGATCACCATGGGAAGAACGGGCCAAATCTCCTACGTCCATTTTTGCATTTGGAATTCTTCCATTGATTTGCAGTGAGAATGAGCAGGGTAGAGGCCTCCAGAGCTCATCCAACCAATTTTGAGTTCCACCCGAAACATAAAAAGAAAATAATTGCCTCTCCGAAAGATGCCTGGAAGGAGGAGGAGGAGGAGGAGGAGGAGGACAGAGAAGAAGGATTCCGTGAGCGGATTGTTCGAAGAGCCGTGAGGAAGGTCAGCCTCTTGCAGCAGTTGGGGCTTCCCCCTTGGAATCTCAGGGCCCCCAGATGGGCAGGTGACAGTCCCTGCGCTGTGGGGGTGGCAGCACTGGCAGGAGGGTGGGAAGGACGACTGGGAGAAGAGACCTAACGTGCAAATCCTGCCGGGGGGGGGGGAGGGCTGGTATGAATCTGTAACCCAGTATTATCCCAACAGTATCCCGAAGATGCTGGAGATCACGTGGAAGCTGGCCATCGGCAAATCTCCATCCCCAGTAAGGGCTTCTCCCTCCTCTCTGTGATTTGGGGAGGGAGGACATTTGCACCCCTTTCCTCCCCATGGCTCAGGGAATTTGGTGTGGCTTCGCTCCTACGTTTGGAGGAGCAGGAATATGTCTTTGCTCCACTGAGAACCAAGAAGAGGGCTTGCTCTGAGGACAGTTTCTGCCTCTTGGTGCCTGGTGCCCCCGACCACGGAGAGGGAGCCTGGATAGGTCTGGAAGAGCTTGGGAAGCCGGCTGCCCCTCCTGCCCCTGACTCTGCCTCTCCTTCCCATCCCAGTGGGCCGAGCTGAGGGCAGCTGTCCTGAAGTGCTGGCCAAAGGGACCCTGGCAGTGATTGTGGCCGCCTTGGCCTTCTTGGGCTTCTTTTCCACTTCTGTCCTTCTGGTGGTGGCGGTCTGCGTCTTGCGGATGGTGGAGAAGCAAAGGTGAGTCTTGCAGGCCGGGAGGGCTGTCGGGTCTCCATCCTGCTGCCGCTGCTGACCTGCAGAAGCCTCCTGGGGGCCAGAACCAGCCAGGTCATCCCGGGGCTCTGGAGTCATTGCAAGCCCTGCCCTTTGCCCTCCTCCTGGCTCTGCCTGGGGATCAATCCAGATGGAGATGGTGGAGCAAACTCCGCAGGCCCAGGGCAGCTCAGTGCCTCTTGTCTCAGTCAACAGTGTTTTGGTCTCTTTTCTCTCTCTGTCTCAAGGAAAACAGGGAAGGATGGGAAAACCAGCTACCCTTCTTCCAGGAGACCTCTCCCTCCTATCCCGTAAGTGAAGCAGGCAAGTGGGGGCCACTGCAGACCCTCAAAGGGTGTGTGTGTGTGTGGTGGGTCTCCTGAGGTCTGGATTGTCAAGGTTGAGCAACTGAAGTGCCAGAGGTTAGAAGTGTGATCTCCTCTGAAGACTTGAACATTTTGAAAAAAAATGATCAGCCAGCCAAGGGTTTTGTCTGCTCGGTCAGCTGGTCCTTGCCTAAAACTTGCTCCGCTGCTTCAGATGCTGTGGCCTTTTTCTCCCCAGCCCTTAGCGAGGGAGGGAGGGAGGGAGGGAGGGAGGGAATGTGTGTGCCAAAAATGGACGCAGGCCCCTTGCATTCTTGCCCTTCCCTTGCAGACCTCCTCGCCCAGAGCGTACATACATGACCATGAAGCCACATGGCTCTGATCGCCTCCGTCCAGCCACCCCGTGAGTAGCCGCACTGGCGTTGGCCTCGGAGGAGCCTAGTTTTAGGGGCCCTTTCTTTGTAGCCCAGATACAACCTGTAACTATTCCAGTGTGGATTTTGAGTCTCGGGAGTCTGGGCAGTCTCAAGTGGCTGCTTTAAAGCTATTGGGGAGAACGTTTTGCAGAAACCAAGGAGGCCTGAAAGGGTCTTTATTACCACAATTAATTTTGGACGTGTGGTTTTACATCAGGAGAAATGTATTTAGCTGATTCAGAAAACAGCCAGAGCTCTCGATGGCTCCTCTGTCCTCCATGTGGGATTGGGGCGCTTAATTCATAGGTGGGTCAAGGAGGAGGTGGGGGGAGCTGGCCCCTTTCTCTGCTGGAGCACTGAAGCCCATTCCTGTCCCCTCAGGCACACCACAGAGGATGCCTACCTGAGTGTCAATGAGCTGAATCCTGGTCCCAGGTGGGTCAGGGAGAGAAGGTGGGGAGGGAGGGTGGGACGGGATGCCCAGGAAAAAGAGCGGCTCTTTGGCAAAGCTGCTTTTATGTTTTGTTTAGGCTGCTCAGGGCAAGGCGGTAGGAATGTTGTTTTAACAGCAGACAAACGTAGAGAGATGGGCTGGCTTGATGTCGTGCTCTCTGACAGTATTCGGGGATCTTGTGGGGCACTAGTGAGGAAAAGACCTTCAGCCCCCTTCAGAAGTGCGGCAGAAGGCTCTCTCAATGCGCCCTGGGGCCGATGCCGAGAAGCAGAGCGCCTCTCGGCTTCTCTTGTGCACCAGGAAAAGTGAGGCGCTGCAGCCATTTTTGGTCCACAGTCAACCTGGAGGATGGAGGAGTGGGGAGGTTAGGAGTGGATGTTTTCTGGCTCAGGCCAAGCTCTTTTCCCCCAGCCTCAAGTTCCTCCGCTTCCTCTTAAAGGGATGGCAGTCGTAGAGTTAGGGTTAACAAATGATCACGAGGGAGCCTTTTCTGCTAACCTGGAAGCACCAGTGGTCATGGGGAAGTCCAGCTCCACAGCCCAACAGCCATTCGTTGTGCTCTTTTCATTTCAGAACCCGTCAGAATCTCCATTACCAGAACCCGAGCGCGTCATCGCCACCCAAGTCAGTAGGAAGGAGGCAGTGTGGGTCTGGGAAAACAGGGCGGGCGGGTGCACGTGTTCCCCACCTGACAACTTCTTTTCTTCACTTGCCCTGTGCAGAGTGTATCTGCTCTTTAAAAGCCGGGAGCAGATTCCTCGCCTTGGCTTAGGATCCTTTTGGCAGATGCCTCTCGAGGTAGCCAAACACTGGAGCAGAGATCCTGCCGAACCCCAGCCCTTGCAGTCCGTCCCCCTCCCTCCTTGGCTGCTGCAATCATTCCCTTCTGCTTTCAGGACCCCCATGGAGAGGGAGTACATACTTCCTGAAAAGGTGCAGCCCTTTTCAAGGTAAGTGTAAGGGATCTGGGACGAAGTTTTAAATTCTCCAACAAATGAGGTCACGGCTAAGGCACTGCTTGCCTATTTAGGACATCCATCCTTTAAAAAAGGATCACATGAGCTGACCTTGTGTAGAAGAAGAAACTAAATTTTTTTACTGAAAAAAGTTCAGTGTTTTCTTCTCTGTCAATGTGCCTGACCTCTTAAGGAAACCTTGCATGTATGTGCACTTGTACTTGTGAGCTACTAGGTAGACTTCCTCTGTGCTCTGCTCCTGGGGAGCTTGTTTGGATCTGGACTGGATAGCTGGAACTGGCAGCTTTAGCCACAGCAGTTTAGAGCTCCATGTCCAATAGCCGCCCATCAGTAGGTTTGTTGGTGGGCCGGGAAAGAGGAACAGAAGTGGGAAAATTGTAGTCTGGACTTCCCAAAGGCAGCTTGGCTACCACAGACACCTGGGTGCCTGGTTGACTGCTCTCATCCAGCAAGATCCACCTGTGTTTCAGCCCTCCCTCAGCAAAGAAGTTTGTGAATGTGGAAGAGTCGGAGCCTACAGCTGTGTAAGTTTTGTGGGATGAAGGAAGTGTTCCCTCTTTTGACCTCTTCCTCCTGCAGAGGCCTAGAAAATAGATGCCCGGGTGAATTGTAGCACGGCCATGTCAACTGAGGCCAAGCAGAAAGGGGGCTTTGCACATGAATGTCATCTCTGTGAACCTTTAGCCAATGGTTAAAGAGCAGCTAGAATTTTGGTAACTTTGATCAGAAGAAAGAGGGGGTCCCCTGGTCACCCCCAGCCTCTTTGCAGCTGCTGAGCTGCCTCCCTTGCTGCCCAAGGGGAGGAGACAGGAAGCTCTCGGCTTTCCTATCCCAAATCCTTCGATCAGAGGTTCTGGTTCTTTAGCACCTTCCCTAACAGGATGCTCTTTACCTTTTTTTCCTTCCCAGAACGGGAGGCCCTCCAGAGATTGGGATGACCCCTCGAGGGTGAGTTAGCACTTCCTGAGACTGTGGGAGATGGGCAGGCTGGGTCAGCTGTTTTGTATGGAAATGTTTTTTCCAAATATGTTCTCCTTGACCCAAAGCGGTAAAACGAAAACTCGGGAGTTTTCAGGAGACAGGGCGTTGGGAGGAAGAGGGGGGACTTGTACAAACAATCACGTCTTTAAAAGGCATAGATAAGGAAAAAGCAGTGCCTGTTGGCACCCAAACCTCTGAACTTCACCTCTGCATTAATGGGATCTGAACTGCGTAGGATTAGTCAAGAAAGAGAACGTGATGGTGTAGTGGACAGCTTGAAGGAAAAGTCAATCGAGCATGCACATTTCTTGCTTGGAATCATTACAAGCGGAACTAAAGATAGAATTGTCACTATATTAGTGCAAATCTTTGCTGAAAGTATTTTATGCTGTTCTGGTCGCTTAATATGCAAAATTATTCTGTCCGCCCACTGATCTTGTTTTGTGTGAAATGTGTCCTAGGGTGTGAAAAAACAGGCACCATATCATACTGGCTTTTGTTTCTCCATCTCATTGTTTAACAGACGCGACAATCACATTTACGAAGAAGTGGAATAGGAGACTCACCCCGGAGATGGGCTGATGCGCTGTATGAACTTTTCTTCAGTGTCCTTGGGCTGCGAAGTAGCTCCTTCGGCAGGGACCACGGGGCTACCCTTTGGTCTTCCTATTAAACCGTGCTTTAATTCCTCTTAGTCCGTTGATTTTGCTGCATGTGCCACAGAACCCGTTTCTTGTTAGAAGCTTGGCCTGTTCTAGAATGTTGCATTCTGCAGCCCTCCAAAGAAAAAGTCTTTTGAAGTTAGCACTATTTTAATGTTAGGATTAAAAAGGAAAAGTAACATGTTCTTAAAATATAGTGCTTCGCAAGACAGAAAATGCAGCTTTATTAAGCTGGAAACTGAACTACATAACTGATCCATCCTGAAAGGCATAGTGGAGCGCTGATCGCTGGCAGTCTCCAGCTGCTGCTGCCTGGCCCATGCTTTGGCCTCTGCCCAGCTGGCCTCTTCATTGCTGCCTTGGCAGGGGACGATGGGAGTGCAGTTGGGGAATCCTGGAAGGGGAGCCTGGGGCTAGAGAGGAGGCCTAGCAGGCCTGGGACTTGCTTTCACTGCAGCAACTGAGGACAGAAAAACCAGAGTGCTTCAAGGCGTTTGGGGCCTGTTTGCAGCCACGGGTTTCCATTGTGGAGGATGCTGTCCGCGTGCCCTAGAGACGTTGCTAAGGCAACCGAGCCCCGTTCCTAAGAAGCGCCTTGTTTACGGCGTCCACCGCAATCGCCACGCCGATAACGCAGCGCGCGGGGAGCTTGCGCTTTTAACGTAGCACTGTTAACGTAGTCGCCGTAGTGAACAGGTTCTCGCGCCTTCATTTGCGCGGGCGTTTCCCCTGCGACCGTTACTAGGAGACGCATCTCTCAGCCGTCAATTGGAGGTCGCGATCAGTCATTCAAATCACCCAATAGAAGAGGCTCCTTCGGTTTTTTTCTTTTTTTCCGTTGGTAGGGAGCACAGAGAACCAACGTACGTGAGCAGGAGGAGGAGTTTCGGACGACCGTTGAAATGTTCTAGTAGAAAATTCGAGGGAGAACATCCTCGCGCTAAAAAACGTTCAAGCGCGGGGAGGTTTTCGGTTAAGACTGGCATCTCGAACGCCCAATCAATAGCGCAATCTAAGTACTTTTGCCCAATCGCCATTGGCGAGGCGGATGACGAGGGAGGTGGAGTGAGGTTGAGACGACGCGCGCGACTACGCGGCGCCGCCCCCTTTCTTGCGCCTCATATATAAAGGTGTGTCCGTTACCTTGACGCAGCTAGTATTCGTCGTGCCGTCGGCCTTGCTTGTCCTGCTACCCGGAACGGAGAGAAGAGGCCGATCCCGCCGCCATGAGGGAGATCGTGCATTTACAAGCCGGCCAGTGCGGCAACCAGATCGGCGCTAAGGTCGGCCAGGAAGGCGAAGGAGGCCGGGTGGGGCTCGGGAGGCCGCCTGCGCCTTCTTCTCATAGCTCTTCCCGCTTTTCCGCCCTTAGTTTTGGGAGGTGATCTCGGACGAGCATGGCATCGACCCCACCGGCACGTACCATGGCGACAGCGATCTCCAGCTCGAGCGCATCAACGTCTACTACAACGAGGCCACCGGTGGGTCCGCCGAGCGCCGGGCCTCTGATCACGCGCAGAGTGCCGGGAAGGAGGGGGCCGTCGTGCCGGCCCGGAGCTGGTGGGACGGGACCGTGGGGAGAGGGGGGGGGATTTGGGATTCGGGGCTGAGCTGGTCTCTTTCCTTCGCAGGCGGCAAGTACGTCCCTCGGGCGGTGCTGGTGGATTTAGAGCCGGGCACCATGGACTCGGTGCGCTCGGGCCCCTTCGGGCAGATCTTCCGCCCCGATAACTTCGTCTTCGGTGCGTGATGCCCGGTGGCCGAGGGCAGAAGCGGCCTCGGGGCTCGTCAGGCGAGGGTTTCGGGGCGGGGGAGGCAGGTGGCGTGCCCTGCGCGGCATCCAAATGACGGGGCCAGCGCACTTCATCCTTTGCTCATTAGGATTGGGCACTCGAGGTTAGGGAATCCGGGGATCGTTGATGATAGCCGCTCACTTAGACGATCGTTGAGTTTTCTGGGGGGGGGGGGGAGAATTGCCTTCCTCGAGAGGAGGGGGGGTTACTGGAGAAAGGCCTTCGGGGGCTGGTTTGCACGGACCCCCCATTTCAGGAGCATTCCAGGCAGGTGCGTTTGTGTTTCAGCCCTAAATGCGCCAAGAGCTGCTCAAGCAGCACGAGGGCAGCTTCCAGGCATTCCTTGGCAAAGCTCCGGCTCTGAAACGCCCGTGTCTAGCTGGGCCAGGAGCTGCTGACAAATGACTATCCTGTGGGGGGGGCGTCGCCTGATGGGTCTTCATTCTCCCACTTGCTCCCCCTCCCTTGCAGGTCAGAGTGGAGCAGGCAACAACTGGGCCAAGGGCCATTACACTGAGGGGGCTGAGCTTGTCGACTCTGTGCTGGATGTTGTAAGGAAAGAAGCCGAAAGCTGTGACTGCCTCCAGGGTTTCCAACTCACACATTCCCTGGGGGGTGGCACTGGTTCTGGCATGGGGACACTCCTGATCAGCAAGATCCGTGAAGAGTATCCAGACAGGATTATGAACACTTTTAGCGTTGTCCCGTCCCCCAAAGTGTCAGATACTGTGGTCGAGCCTTACAATGCCACTCTCTCAGTCCACCAGCTGGTGGAGAATACAGATGAGACCTATTGTATCGATAATGAGGCACTATATGACATTTGTTTCCGGACCCTGAAGCTGACCACTCCTACCTATGGCGATCTCAATCACCTAGTGTCAGCCACAATGAGTGGGGTGACCACTTGTCTGCGGTTCCCAGGCCAGCTAAATGCTGACCTGCGCAAACTGGCGGTCAACATGGTCCCCTTTCCTCGGCTACATTTTTTTATGCCCGGCTTTGCTCCGCTGACCAGCCGTGGGAGCCAGCAGTATCGTGCCCTGACAGTGCCTGAGCTCACCCAACAGATGTTCGATGCCAAGAACATGATGGCAGCTTGCGATCCCCGCCATGGGCGCTACCTCACGGTTGCAGCGGTTTTCCGTGGGCGCATGTCGATGAAGGAGGTGGACGAGCAGATGCTAAATGTCCAGAACAAGAACAGCAGCTACTTTGTGGAGTGGATCCCCAATAATGTGAAGACCGCCGTCTGTGACATCCCTCCCCGTGGCCTTAAGATGTCAGCCACCTTCATTGGCAACAGCACTGCCATCCAGGAGCTCTTCAAGCGCATCTCCGAGCAGTTCACGGCCATGTTCCGTCGCAAGGCCTTCCTGCACTGGTACACTGGGGAGGGCATGGATGAGATGGAGTTCACTGAGGCGGAGAGCAACATGAACGACCTGGTCTCCGAGTACCAGCAGTACCAGGATGCCACCGCTGAGGAAGAGGGTGAGTTTGAAGAGGAAGCAGAGGAAGAAGCAGCTTAAGAGACCTGGGGGGGGCTGTTACACCTGTGTGTTCTGTTCAAAGGTGTCACAAACTTTTATTTGCTCAAGACCTCTGTTTATGTGTGCTGCGTCATGTTTATGTCACTTGTCTGATGCTGTACATTAAAAACATTTTCATCCTGTATGTTGTCTCCGCTGTACTTCATCGTAGTAAGCTTTCCGGGTGCTGTTACCAAAAGTTAGGGCATAATTTTCGCGGATAGCTGGGGAGAAAAATCCCAAGTCAGCACCTCTGCATGCTCCAACTGGTTCTTTCTGACATGTGGGAACACAGTAGGATTGAGTGCTATGTTAGAAGAGGGAACGGGTGTAAAGACGTTACTGTTCTTTCTCTGCAAGTAAAGCTTCAGATAGAAGCGGCCACGGTCTTTTGAAAGGCTAGAGAGGATCTCACTGGCCAAAAAACAGGCAAAAAGTGTTGCCCTTGCTCTCCTTGCTTGCCATGTTCCATAACCAGGACTAAGCAGCTGCCGGCCTGAGCCAAATTGCAGCTGCTGTCTGACCTCGTGTGTTCAGTTCTGTGTAGCCAGAGGCCCTGGGAGCAAACGTGTTGCTTTGAACAGATCTCGCCTACCCCGAGGAGCCAATGGGGAGGGGAGAAACTTGTCTTAGCTTGACAGATCCCGTGACTTACTTGGCACAAATCCGGTGTAGAATGGAACCAGGCCTTTGCTGTTGTAGATCTTTGTGTTGGGCCAATAAGTGTGGGGCAGGCGCTGTCCAAAACTATACATGGGGTTTCTCAGCCTTTCCTGAGGAAGGACCATCAAGTGCGTTAGGTAGGAGAGCCGAAGTCTTGCTCTGAGATCAGCTAAATTTGGTCCTGAAGGACCAGGCGCTACAATAGCAACCCCCAACCAGGTGGCTTTGTTGCACAGAGATAGCATTGCAAGAGGAAAGGGCTGTTAAGCTGGACCCTGGCTTGGGATTCTTCCCTCGCTAAGACATTATTTCTGGGGACCAGTTTATTTGTCTCCAGGCAGCATCAGTGCCCAGGTACATGAGCTGTTTTAGGGGATGATGGGCTCTGCTCCCTGCCCCAGTATTACCTGGTTTCTATCAAAATTGTTCATGGCATCTTTCACTCCTTTCAGGTAGTTGACTCCCATAATCCAGGTGAAGCATGGGATAAATCCAGCATATCCTGTGAAGGAAGTTCCAGGGAGCTGCTCAGGACCCAAAGTGGTTGCGGCTATAACCTTTTTTACTCCTCCAGGCCCGGAACGAGGGTGGGTGTGGGGCTGTGGCTTTTTTAAAACCATTCTTGCCTAGTGAGAATTGGGAAGCGGCTGAAGGTAACGTTGGACACACATTTGCTCTCTGTTCTTCACCGAGTTAAGCTTCGGGTCTTAGAAATCCTGGCCACCTCCTTGGCATATCTGGAGGGCATCAGGCAGATGCAGGTGTTCCATCCAACACTTCCCACCCCAGATTGGCATGCTGGAGCAAGCTGCTGAAGATGGGATGTGGGTGGGGGGCGCTGGCTGAGGCACCTGGGGAAGATTTGGAGCAGGGAGGGCATGCTGTTAGCTCAAAAACTGCTTCATTGCTCTGTTTTTTTCAGAAAGGAAAGCCCTGTGTGTTTCGGTGTGCTTTTTCTGATCTTGTTTCTCTAACCCTGGTTAAAGAAGCAGAGCCTACAGAAGGAAGCACTCTGGGGGGGGGAGGAGTTCGAAGAGGGGAGGAAGACTTGGAGAGCACAAGTCTATTGTTAAGAGATCCTTCTTATCTCACCATTGCCAACAGTTTACCTGAGATGGCTTTTCGTTGAATGAGGTTGGGCAGATCCAGCCTGGGGGTCCGGTCAAAGCGCCTGACATTCACCGTTTCTGTTGCCAGTGGCAGAGGCACTCCTTCCGTCCTGGTTGGCTGAGAGCCAAAGGAAGAACAAAAAAACAATTGTGTCTTGACTTTCTGCAGGAAAAATGCAACTACCTTTCAAAGCAGTAGAAGCCAGTTGGTGTAGCTGTTAAGGCTCCAGGCTAGAAACTGGGAGACTTGAGTTTTAGGCACAAAGCCAGCTGAGGGACCTTGGGCCAGTAAACTTTCCTTCTTGAGCTCCAAGTAGTAAGTTTCTTGGTCTAAATAACAACAAAAAACCCAGACTCCTTCCCGTAGGTGTAAGTGAACATTGTCGGAAGGATTCCTCTTTCTGATCTCATGTTCTGGGTAGATTCATAGGAAACTGTTTCCCTCTGGGCTTCAGAGGTAACGGGCTAGAGTCTAGACCTAAGACTCCCCATCCCAATACTTATAGAAGCTGTTGCCCCCATCAGGATTTAGCCATCTACCGTTGAGATTGGACATAGATCTTGACTGCTATTTCCACCCTGGCCACAGGTGGGAATCGCCCAAGGGTTAAGTGCCTCTTTTCTGTGGTCTGCTCATTACAGCTGGTCTCTATTTATGGTCTGTTTCTGAGCACCTACCTGATCAGTTCCTGCGCAGCAAGGAGGCCCCCTCCAGCCCTGCCCGCATACCAAGGACATGCCAGCCTTGCAAGGTCCTCGACGCTCCTCCTGACCACACACCAGGGCAATGTCCGGATGGCAGAGAAACCTTTCCTCGCCTTTTGGGGAGACCAGCTGTGAGCTGGCTGTGGCTGCAAACTGCCTCCACCCTGGCCCACAAGCCAGCCGGATGCCGGGATGACAGGGGATGACCTTTCTCTGAGCTGCCAGTGGTGCTGGATGGGCCTGTGTCCATGGAGGAAGGTCAGGCAGGGGAAGGACCCTTGGCAAAGGGGGCCGGAAGTCTTGGCCTGGAATAGGAAAGCAACCTCTGTAGGATTCAAATCCTAGAGGGAAATAGAGGGAGAAAACCAACATCCTAAATTCAACCTTGAAAGGAGCCAGGAAAAAAAACACACTTTTCAATCATTCTGGGGCTTCCTACAGAGCCAGCAAAACGGTGGAAGTAGGGATGGGGGGTGGTCCTGGGATGGGAACTAAGAGGCCGCTGGGGTGAAGCCCTACCCATGTGCAGAAAGCCCCTTGGGTAATTCCTTAAGAAACCACCTATCCCTGGAATGCAACTCTGGAGCAGGGCTGGACCCTTTCTCCTACCAGGTTTGTTTTTTTTTTGTAAGAGGATTTTTTTGGTGGTAGGATAAAATTTCCCTGAATTTCTATTATTTGCCCAGTTGTGTAGTTCTGTGTTAGTGTGCCATGATTCAGGAGTGCAATTTAGTCGAGCCGAAGCAGTAGAGCCAGCAGGAATCATCCCAGACACACAAGGAGCCTTCTTGCCCACTGGGGACACAGCCTTTGACCAGAGCTTGGTGTCCCTCTCCCAGCTTTCCTTCAGATGCGCACCTGTGTATCCTGGGATGTACAGCTGGCCCTGATCCATCCTGTCTGGTGCAGGGAGTTTCTGCTGGCTGAAGTCTTCCGTGAACTTGGGTCTCCTCAAAGGTGTGAGAACGGAGCACGGGCTCTTGCGGACCTCAGGGTCGGTCAGCATCCTGGAGGTGGTTCTGCCATAGCTTTGCCCAACATGGTAGCGGACCTGGGGGTAAAAGCCCCCGTATCTTGGGAGGCACAAACAGGTAAAAGGAAATGAATCCACACATTAGCATGCCTGAAAAATGGCATTAATTTAGCATCAGTAAAAGTCGCCTGGCACCAATACTGTTAGAGATCTGCCATGGCAATTGTATTGGTTTAGGAGATCCATGAAGAGAAGAGCCTTCCTTCCCTGAAGGAGGGTGGAAAAGGGACTGGGAGAAATTGGGGCGGGGCGGGGGGGGGACAGAAAGCCAACCTAATCCTAAAATCGGAAAGCTTTTGCGAGGGGCTCAGGCGGAGGCGCTTCCCGGGAGGCTGGCGTGTAGCTGGCACAGCCTTCCCAAGTTCCGTAGACTCCGGGAAAACAGGCTGCTTCGCCGCCTCCGGGAGTCCGGGGCTCAGCGGTGGACTGCCTCGGTAGGGGGAAGCTCTGCAGAGAGACCGGCATTAAGTCACATGTCTCCGGCGAGAGGCCTCCAGCCGCGGACTCACCCAGGGATGTAGTAGGGATCCTGGGGGAAGAAGCTGCACTTCTGGGCGGCTGTCATGGTGGGTCGGCGCTGCTCGGCGGGCTTGGGCGGGCCGGGGCCGGCTTGTCCCCCGGGCGACCATTGTGAGGCGGCCCGCGGGGGGGATGCGCCTTCCTCGCGGGGGCCCCCTTCCCACCGCTGGGGTGCTGCGCGGGGCGGCCGCGAGGGGGCAGCCGAGGACCGCCCAGCGGACCGCAGCCCTGCCTCGCGGGGCCGTCGTCCCGCCGCCCGCCGTTCGAGTTCCGCCCGGGGTTTCCCCCGCCGGGGACCGTCTGGGCGGTGCACAGGCGAAGCGCCGCTTCCGGCAGTTTAGCCTGGCGCGGGGCCGCCGCTTCCCTCCGTCGCGCGCTGGGCTCGGCTTCCCGGAAGGGCGCGCGGGAGACGGCCCGGCGGGGGAGGGGCCAGGCCGGAAAAGCTCGGTTCGCTCCCGCGGCCGGCCAGAGGCCCCGGCGGCTTCCCCAGAGCGGCGCTCCGGTCGGCGGGCGGCGGGCGCCGAGTGGGCCGAGGGCTTCCTCCTCTCTCCTGCAGCGGGAGCTCCTGCCTCCGGGCGAGGGAGACCCCGCCGGACGGGAAGGCTGGAGGCCCCCGGGGAGCAGGTGGGTGCCTGAGGGAGGCCGGTCCCTCGCCGGGGGGCCTGGGGGGCCGTTGGCGGCCTGGGGAACCCCCTGCTCGCCCGCCCCCTACCCGGCGCTCCTCTCCGCGGGGGGGGGAGAGGCCTGGGGTGGCTGTGGGCCTTTATGTGGCAGAGGCCGCCGGCCGCTCTCCTCGGGCCCCTGTTGGGCTCCAGGCCCTGGTTCTCCGTGGGGTCCAGTTGGGTTCAGTGCGGCACAAAGTCTGGTGGGGGCCTCGGGCCTAGCAGAGCCCCGAGACCCCCTCCCTCCCCAGCTGCAGCCTGGGAGTGTTTCTGCACCACAGCGGGTGAGTTTTTTTGAGCCAGCCGTGATGTGATTGTGTCTCGTGGCAGACCCGGCTGATGTTTTGGTCATCAGTATGCCGGACAGGATCTTTTTTCCCAGTGGTTTCTAATTTGGATGGAGCTGCAGTATCAGATCTTTGGAAACGAAGTAGATCCCTGAAGAGCTCTCTGTGCCAGGAACAGCAGCTGACTGGCTCTCCATTGATATGGTTTGGCTTTACTGGACACTTCCATGTGGTTTGTGGATCTTTTTAAAGTCTGCAGCCCCTGAGAAATGTTAAATGGATCACAGATGTCAGCTGCAGGGGCTGTCTGTGCTGTACAGGACCTTAGGAAAAATATCCACATCCCTGGGAATCCTCTGTTGGCAGCGCATCCAGCAGCCCCTGATTTTCAGCTAGCTAAGATGCTAGCAGTGCGTCTTAATTTTTTTTGTGCTCTGGAGGTTTTTTAAAAAAAAATCTTTTAAGTCAAAGTGAAAAACAAAATAAAAAAGCAGCACACTCAGCAATTGTCCAGAAAAAACATTTGGCTCTCTCTTCCTGTGCAGCTGTTTTTATTCTCAAGAATAAATGCTGGCTCCCAGTGCATTTCTTCAGCCTTTATCTCACTGGAGAGGCCATGCTTGGCGGATCCTGGTGCCTGTGAAATGCCAGCCCAGAGAAGTTGGCTTCTGCACACACCTTTAACCTGTGCTTGGTCAGGTTCCTTGAGTTGGGCTTGCTTCCCATCTTTCTTTTGTAAGGGGGCCTTGGTCTAATCGGCATCTCAGCAGTGGCCAGGAAGCAGCGTTTAGGCAACCTGGAAAGGGACCTAGGAGAGGCTGCCCCTCAACTCCTCCTCAGCAGTTTTTCTTCCCAGCATTTGGCAGCGGCTTCCCCAGCAAGCGCAGCCCTCCTCCGCCCTCCAGATTGAATAATTTACTTGGGACGAGGCTACCCCCCCCCCCGAGGGTTGGTGGTGGTAGCAGAGGTGGCATTTGGTGTCTGTCATCCACTTGTTGCGAGTAACCAAATTCTCTCCTGCTTCCAGGACGAGGGGGCAGCTGTCTTCCATCCCCCAGAAGACACCATGGTGGAAGATTGCCCAAGTCACAGCTCCAGTGGTGAGGCCCAGCTTCTGATGGCTCTTCCTCCTCCTTTTCCTGGCTCCTTGTTGCGGAGTCCTTTACCCTCTGGTGGTCCCCCTTTTTAGATACCAGCCAATATGTAATTTTTGAAATGTGAGGTTGGCCACAAAGACTACCAGGTTGTTGTAGAGAGGTATGGATTTCAGGCTGTGGGTCTCCTTCTTTAAATGAGTCCCTCTAAAACCACAGAAGGGTTTTAGTCCCCTGCAAGTTGTACCCAGAGGTTTCCAGGAGCCATTGGTGCAACTCCCCCCCCCTTTTTTTAGACTTCGCAAGTTTGCATCTGTGTACTTTTGTGCATCCCTTCCCTCCTGCATATTTAGAAAGCTGAGTTGTCCGTCAGCAAAAAATATTTTTGGCTTTGGGAAAAGGGAGAGGGGGAATCCACAGAAATACCCAAGGCCCTTTTTTTGGCCTTCTCATTCCAGAGGGAGGGGAGATGGACTGGCAGGTTCCCCATCTATGTTTTGCATAAAACAAGCGTTAGCAGTGGGCCTTTTGGCAGAAACATAATCTAAATTCTCTTTGGGCAATAGCTAGTTTGTGTCGTAAAAGAAATTAGTCCTGTAGAATGTGTGGTGGGTAGGATAGAGATGTCTGGGAGGTGGGGGGGGGGAGTACAGTACAGGGAAGATTGCTTGGAGAAGCCAAATTCAGTAGGAAAACATTTTTAAGTTTTGAAAGCCCTTGGCGAGGGAGCCTGCTGTGAATATTTCCAAAACTTCCCAGAAAATTCTCGCCCAGCTACGGGCTGAGGAGACTGCAGGCTTCCACCAGATGTAAGCGCTCCAAGGAAACTTTGGCTGCCTTCTTGGATTCTCTCCTATGCTCCAGCCCTCTCCCATCTGACCGGTTCGGGGGTCGCCTCCGCCTGTCACCCTTCGCCTGTCTGTCCTTCCTGCAACAGGCGGCCCCTGTTTAGCTGTTTCCAAGACAAACATTGGCTTTGCAGGGGGGGTGGGGTGGGGGCTGCAGAGCTGCTTCCTCAAATTAAAGGCCTGGAGCCCCAGGCTGTCAGCCTGCCAAGCTGAAGGCCCAGTTCCTCTTCTCCTTTGCAGGCAGAGGCTCCAGCAGACAAGAGTCGCTCTCTGCTGGAGCCCCATTGTTCAGATCTCAGGGTGCCCCCAGTGCTGAGTCATCACGTCCCTCCCCCCGTGCACGCTCAGACGGGGGGGGGCTTCCTTTCATGCTGTCGTTTAACCCCCCCCCTTTCTTTGATGCCCAATTTTGAGAAGCAGAGACAGCCACGCCTGCAGGGTGAGGTGCTACGCCCCCCCCTCCCCTTGCATTTTGTCTGTGTGGGAGGAGGAAATCCTGGCTCAGACTGAGCTGCAGCTGCCTGCAAGGGACTATTTGCCCAATATCTCCCAGGCCACAAAGGCTGGAAACATCAGCTATTCCACCCCAAACTCTGGGGACCAGACCTGGCACCAACCAGCCTTATCCCAGGAGAGTCAGCCTGCTGGACCCCTCCCCCTCCTGGGGCTGCAGGTTGGGAGGGAGGAGAACTGGTAGTTTCAGGGCTGCCCTCCCTCCCTGGGGTGTCTCGCCAGCCAAGGTGCTTGAGCCTGCATTTCCTGCTCCATCATGTGAGGAAAATGGGACACCGACGAGTGTTTCTGGGGAGGAGGACGAAGCAGTCGTGGGTCTCTGCAGAGCAGCGCTTCCTGTAAGGGAGGAAGATCAGAGGGCCCAGCCCAGCCTCTTGTTGGCCCCGGGTTCTCTGGGGGCCTTCCCGGGTGGAGCATCTGGCCAGGGGAGCTGATTGCAACAAGGACACACACACCCCCAGGCAAAAATGTTCTGGATGGGCCATTTAGATGAGCGATGGAAAGGCAGTTTTCTGGTTGGTTTTAGGGGACGCTGATGCCCTCAGCAGGGCAGGAGGACTCTCCTCCACCCAGGGCTGTGTGTGCATGGTGGGAGCCCTGGGCCTCGTGGGTGGAGGGAACAAATCCCACTTTACATTTTGTTTCTCTCCTTCCCTGGGTTTTCTCTCCCTTCCTCCAGAGCAGGACGCCTTGCTCCAGAAACTTCAGGCTCTCTGGGCATGGAGAGACATGGAAAAGGTGAGTTCGATAAAGCATTGTACAAGAAGTGCCTACATTTGCCGCAGTGCCCCCCCCCCGTGGGGATCTCCACTCTCTCCTCTTTCTGAAGAGGAAGCTGTGTGGCCCCCCACTTTTGCTTCCATCTGCCCAGGCCCCCTGAGGACCAGCTGGGGGCTGCTTGGTTAACTGAGGGTGGGGGGTTGGCCATCTCAAAAGCTGGGTGCCCCACGTGGGATTTGTGCCCTGGGGACTGGCAGAGCAGGGTCAGCAGAGGTCCTTCTGGGTTTCCCTAGCTCCGGGAAGAAATGCGCCTGGGCTTTGCCAGCCTGTGCGACCCATTGGCGTGGCTCCTGGATGTGCTGGATTGCTGTGGGGACTGGAGAGGGCCAGGCTTGCTGACCCACATTGTCCGCGAGCTGCAGGGCTGGATAAAGAGCCATGCCAGTGATCAGCCGGTAAGGTGACTGCCGGACTCAGCTTGGGCGTAGGCCTCTGCGCCTTGGCCCTGAGTGGGGCTCCGTGGAAGACTGGGGTACCCTGGGGAGACGCAGAGCCCTTGCCCAGCTGCCCCTCGAACGGGCCACAGTGGAGTGGCTTCTCAAGGGTATCTGGGCTCCTGTTGGGGCTTCTGGGGCTCTGTGTTTCTGCAGATTCTGCTTATGGCCCGATGACATTCGTTGCCACTTCCCTCAAAAGTTTCACATTCCTTGCGGACCTGGGGAGGGAAGAGGGGTCTCCCATTTCTCAGTTTCCCCAATTTCCCTGCCAGAAGGAAGCCTGGTGGTGTCCAGCTGGGCCCTTGCTGGGCTCCTCTTGGCCTGCCTGCCCAAGACACCCAAGAAGCGATCTGTCCCGTGTTCCTGGACATAGACTGCTTCTGGTGCGGGAGGCGCTCTCTCCTCCTGCCCCCTGGGTGAGGCAGGGCAGCAGGCCTGCTCTTTGGAAAAGGCCCTCGAAGCAGGAGGCTCCCAGCCTGGATTGCTTTGGGTCTAGGATTCACCGCATCTCTCTCTCTGGTGCCCTCAGTCTGGCTTAAAGCTGAAGGCGCTGCAGGCCCGTCTCTTTCCCGTGCTCACCCGGTGCAATGTCAGCCTGATGCAGCCCCTGATCAGCATCTATCAGCTCCACACCGCAGACCGCCAGCATTTGCTGTGCTTCGTTAGCCAGCTCTGCCAACAGGGGAAGTTCAAAGAGGTGAGGTGCCCTCGCTTGGCCACTGGGGGGCATTGTTGCTCTCCGTCTGCCTGGGCCTGGGAGGAAGGGGCCTGCCTGGGTGCAGGTGGCAGCAGGCGCAGGAGGGCCGGGGCTTTCGGGGGATCTCCTGCCAGGCCCCTTTTGGAAACCAGGTGGGAATCCTGTAGGCAGGCCGCGCCCCTCTGGGTTACCCCCTAGCCGATCCGAGGGCGTCTGCGCCTGCCCAAACGGGCCTTTCTGGCACCCCCCTCCCTCCCCCTGGTGAAGGTGGCAGAGAAAGGAGGCCCTTCTCGGGAAGGAAGGCTGCTCTCCCACCCCCAGCAGAAGCGGCCCCCCTGCTTCGGTGCCCCCGTGATGTCACAAAGGACACGGAAGGCCCTCTCAGCTTTGAATGGCGGGGTCCCACAGCTTAACGTGCCACGATAGTTCATGTCGGGATGGCGGCCGCCTCGGGGCGGCATGAATGCTGTCCTGTGTCCATTGAGTTATTTTATTCGCATTTTTTAAACAGCTCCTAAAGGTAGAAATAAGAAGATATCTGTGCCTTTAAAAGGGAGGGGTTGGGGGGCTGTGGCTCAGGACTGGGGGCAGGCAGGGGGTCCTTCGGAGGCTGCCTGGAGCAGAGCAGCTTTTCTTCAGAGGGCTGCTCTGGTCCATTCAGAAGCGGTGGTGGGGCGGGAAGAACCGGCCTCCCTCCTGGCCAGAGAAACGGGCCAGGCCACGTTGGACGTCCCGGCCCGGGCAAAGTCTCTCCTGCTGGGAAGGCCTTTCGGATCACGAGGGGCAAATGCTTCCTTCCCCCAGAGTTTTCAGCATGGCTCTGCCAAGTAATTTGGAGTTGGATCTGCAGGAAATGTTCTTTTCTCCGCAGCCCCATGAGAGGGTGGCAGACGATTGGAGGTTGCCTGTGTGTGTGTGTGTGTTTGTCTGTGCATTTGTGAAAGAAAGGGGGGGGGTTGAATTCAGAATAACACAATCCCCAGGGAGGAGGAAGGAAGGGACCTCCGCGCAGGGCCTCTGTTTCGAGAGATAATTTATCCCTGGATAGCCGGGCTCAGAAAGAAGGGAAGGGCTGGGGCTTGGGGGCTTCCAGGTGGGCCCCTCCCTGATCACAGAGGAAAGCAGATGGGCGGCTAGTCAGGCATTTGCAGCAGCCCAGCAGCCCCACACTCCTTACCGGCCGAACTCTCAGCTGCCCTCGCTGGTTCCCATTGGATTCCAGAGAGCAACTGGTCCCAAGGGGATTATAAAAATAACAGCAAGGGAACGGCATGGAGGCGCAGTTAGGTCTGCTCAGTTTTTTCCTTGCCAGCCTCCTCCCTCCCCTCTCACGCCTTTCCAAAGCTGATCAAAATAGAAGCCTGGGAATGGCCTCGGGTCCCCACCCCCCCTCCCCCCTTTGGTCCTCTTCAGCTTTTCAGAGGGGGCAAAGTTAGGTTCGTACTGGAGGCTTGGGATAGCTGTGGAATTGCTCTGCAGTTTAAATGCCATGTGGTGGGATCACTTTACGCGCTTCTGAATGAATGGCCAGAGACATCCTGGGCTCCCGAGGGCTTTCTGGGCATCCCTGGGGGCCGAGTGTCTTGTGGGGGGGGAGCTTTGTTTGTAAAGACTGGGTCGAGTGAGGCTCCTAGACCAGGCACACGCCTGAATAGCCCTACCAGAGGGGAATAACGTTGGTGGAGTTCTTCATGCCCTCTGAGCTGGGCTGTTTGCTTGCAGATGTTTCGTTGCCCAAGTGGGTACTACCCCCAGGGTGAGTCACTGGTGCTTGCAGATGTTGGTAACTCTTTGGGGCAAAAGTCACTCAGAGGGAGAGGTGCCCCTTCTGAGAGGCGTGTGCACTGAGAGGGGGTAGGACACCCTCTTGCTGTGCTTGAAGAGACTGCGTTTTTCAAGGAGTTCCCCGGCCTCTGTGTGTGTATACTTCCAAAAACCCTTTCTCCCGACCCTTTGCACTGCTTTATTAACTCCCTCTCCCACCTTTCCTTGTTTCCTAGGCTGCTACTTTAAGTATAAAACTGAAACTTCAACCAGACCTGGAATTTGAGAAGGTAAATTCCATGCAAAATGCAGATGTCCTTGCATCGCCTTCCTGCTTCTCCCTGAAATGCTAGCTGTCTATCTGCAGGGACCGAGAACATTCAGGGTGGTTTGGCCTGGTTGGGTGGCTGCTCTGGGGTTTCTTCGTACAGCCTTTTTGATTAAAGAGAGTGTGGGGTGCCAATTCCCCCTCCCCCATCTGTGCCCTAGATGTGCGTTCCGTTGCTGCTTCAGGACAAAATAGAACTCGTCGAAGCTTACGTGGAAGGCAGCCCTGAGCGGCAGCAGAGCCTCTTGCGACTCCTGGACTCGTGGTCCATGCCAGGCTTCCAGGCCAAAGACCTGGCAAGGTGAGGGGGCCGCTGGGAGGGGAGGACTTCTCTCCTGGGGGAGCAGCATTCCCAATCCCGCATCAGCTGAGCTCCTGCGGCTGCTAACATTCCTGAAATTCTCTCTGCGGAAGGAGTAAATGTTATTTCTTCCTCATTGCTTTTATTCTTACTTTACTGTTGCTTATAATTAATGTGGGGGGAGCCCCCCTCGAGCACCAGAGTCCCACCTGCTGAATACTGAAAAGGTCCCCACACAAACGTGCTTCAGATCCTTGCTGCCATGTGAATTCGGTTTCAAAAGAGTGCCCGAATATGCCTTCTGAGCTCCTGATGAATCAGAGCACGTTTGTGTGTGTGTGTGTGTGTGTGTGTGTGTGTGTGTGTGCGTGCGCCTGTATGCACAGGGGGGTGGGGGGGGTGGGGGTATCCTTGGTTAAGTGGCTGGGAGGAATTCTGCCCTTACTCCCTCCCCAGGACCAGGGACACCTGGCGGGAGGCCCAGTGATCTTGCCGGCTGGACTGACTCCCTCCGTCTCTTTGGCTCCCTTTCAGACAGTATCAAGCCCTGCCTGGCAAGTGGCCGGAGAAGATCAACTGCAGGAGGATGCATAAAATGGCCTTCCGGTTGCTGGACAGATACAGCCTGGGCCCAGGTGGGCACATCCGGCATGTTCCATGGGAGGGAAGCCTTCATCCTGGGGGACGGTTGGGAGCTGGGAGAGAGAGAGAGAGAGAGAGAGAGAGAGAGAACTGGGCCCCGCAGTCTGAAGGGAGCAGAGAGAGCAGGTTCTGCCCAGAGAGAATGCGTGGCCCAACCCTGCACCCTCTTCAGGACTGCGAAACAAATGGTATTTTTCATTTGCTGGACAGATCGCCAGCCACGTACGCACTCCCTCCTGCAAATGCACTTTCAAGTATATCTTTTTTAAAAATGGGGGCTACAAATTGACTTCTGAAAAAAGCTTCAGCCTTTCAAGGTTGCCAGGTCTGGTATTACCCCCCATTTGCTCCTTCGGCATTTTTACCATATTCACTCCGAGTGCTTCTTCAAATGCACCCACTTCAAGCTTAAGCAAGATTCTTCTCACTGCTAAGCTGAGAGGTGAATTCAAGGCCAGTGGTGGTTCAGATTTGCCCCCCCCCCCGCGATTGGCAGGGCCTTGGCCAGGCTCGTAAAGCTTGCTGAGGACGGAGGGTGCCCTGCCTGCCTGCCTGCCTGCCTGCCTGCCTGCCTGCCTGCCTGCCTGCCTGCCTGGGGTTTGCAAGCACCGCATGTGCCTGAAGGGCCGACTCTGAGCAGCCTGGCAAGTGGCTGTGGGTCTCCCTGCGAGGTGAGCTGCTGCCAACAGCAGAGGGCAGGCGGGAGCTGCCCTGGAAGGCGGGTCTCTCCTGCATCCGCCTGAGCGAAGTGCCTGCACTCTCTGCTCCTCTCTCCTGTTGGTCTGTTGCTTGGAATCACACAGACGCAGGCTTACATATTTCCAAGGGGGAGTTGACTAGCACAGCCTCCCTGGTGTTGGTCCCTCCGGATCTCTTGGGACTACCGCATCCTGCATCCTCGGCTTCAGAGCCTTAAAGAGTCCAGCACATGGCAGGGGGGAAGGACCTGGGCCGGTGGCGGAATGAGTCCTGCAGAACTCTACTTGGTCCCTTTCTCTACTTTCACTGACCCATCCTTTCTGTCTCTCCCTTCCTTCTCTCCCCCCCCCCAATAGAGCTTTGTCCCCATATTCTCAACCAGCGACACCTGGGCACTTTGAAATACCTACTCCACAAGAGATTTGTTGAGGTATGTCGTGGGAAGGGGGAGGGTGTTAAAAGGCCATGGAGGTTCCAGCGTCTTCACAGCATTGTTTCGCAATGTCTCTTGCAGAAATCCATGACGCAAGAAAACTGGGCAGATCACATCCAGGTCAGTGTGATTTTGCTCCCAGCCAGGCAGGTCTCTGTGGCTGCTGCCTCAGCCACTGTCCACGAGACCATCATGTGGCTGGCTTGGTTTGGGTTCAGGCTGGATGCCAAGCGGTTATTGTGGTTTGCCAGGTAGAGCTGGTGTGTCTTGCTCTACAGGGGACAGTTGGAACAAACTGTGGCTCATTGCAGGGGTGAATCTGTCTCGGCCCTCCTGTGCTGAAGCAGATGAAACTCCTGCGTTCCAATCATCAGAAGCGTGAGCCACACGTTCACTTCCTTGTGAAAAGTCCATCAGAGGCTTCCGGCCTGCAATAAATGCAGATAATGCTTTTTCTCTAATCAGAGAAGTTAATTTATCCATTCCAGCAAGTTCTGTCAACCCTACCGACCGTTCCTCCACAGTAGGTAGTGTCACCTCTTTTCCCCTCTGGGCACGCAGTAATCTCACTGGTGTGGGTTTCTTTTTTGTGGTTGGGGTCCTCTGCGTTAGACCCAGTTACATTTTGCGGTGTGTTCATCGGAAATTGTCCTGTGGTGTGATTATTCCAAAGCAGCCATGTGAGTGTAGACCTGAAGAGGTTACCTTGGAGGGGAATGGGAATGGGAAGCACGGGAAGGATGCTGCTCTCTCTGGAAGGTGGCAATTATGGATTGAGGGGAATCCTGGTTGCGTTGCCAGGCGGTGAATGTCTGCGCGCACTCAGCCCGCCCTGTCAAGCATCCGATTTTCACAACAGAAAGCGCTGGGGGGTTTTCAGTTAAGGCATTGAGAGAGATCCGAAAGAGGGAGGAAATGCCTCTGAGGAGCCTTCCATTGGTTAAAGATCTTGCAAACTTATTCTGTGCTGCTTTGGCCTGCAGCCAGGTGGACGCCTCAGATAAGGCTAAGGATCTGTAACCAAGAGCCGTCCACCGCAAAACGGGATTTGGAGAATGCAAGAGCCGAGCCTTCAGCTTATTTGTAGCTCCAGGGGGATGGAGCTGGACTTGGAGGCATCTGCTTCCCCCCCCCCCCCGCCCAGCCCCAGCCCCAAAAGCACACCCAGCCACTTAGGAGGCGCAGCAGCAGCAGCAGCAGCAGGAGGGAGGGAGGGGGCTGTGCTGGGTCTTCCGCCTTGCTTCTGTTAACGAGGGGACTGCCAGCTAGTCCTCTTCCTCGGCCTAAAAGGAGCAGAGCGGGCAGGTTGCCCAGAGCCCCGGCTGCAGAGCCCAACTGGTGGGGGGAATCCCCCCCCCCTGAGAGTGCGGATGGGCCAGGAATCCGAGCTGCCCGGGCACCTTCCTGTTGCTGCCTCTGCTTCTGCCTCCCTCCCAGGGCGGGTGCAGACGCAGCCTCCTGCCACTGGGCGCAACGGGAGGGCGGCCGAGCTGCCAGGCCTCATTCCTGAGATACCTCCAGACACCTGAAGGGGTGGCGCTCCTGCGGGAGCGGGGACAAATGACTCAGTGGCCCCAGGTGAAGAAAAGAGCGGCCAGGGGGCTGCGGACTGCCCCCCCCCAGCCCCAGAGGGCAAGAGGGACTGGGAGGGAGCCAAAGGGAAAGAGGAGGCTCTTTGCCCAGACAGAAGTGACGCTTTGCAGAGAAAGCCCCCCCCCCTCCCTCCCCTCTGCGCCAGAAAAGAGCCGGCTGGGCCAGGGGGAAGGCAAAGTGAAGCTCTTGTGCCTGCCTGGGGGTGGGGGGGTGGGGGGGCGGTCTGGAGGCCCCAATGGGACGGCGGCCTCCCGTACTTCTCCTCCTCCTCGTGCTTGGCATCTCGCAGGCGGCGGCCGCCTCTTTCCACCTTTTAAGCCCTCCAAGTAATTCCTGTGCATTAGCCACATCCTCCTGCTGGCCTTCCCTCCTTGGAGGGGGGGGGTGTCCTCCCCCATCCCCTGCTTCATCTTCTTCGCCAGAGGCCGTGGAGGCCATTTGGCTTGTTGGCTTGGAGCCAGCGCTCCCCCCACCCCTTGATGCTGCCCCCCCTCCCAGCTGGCTCTCCTCCTCCTCCTCCTCCTCCTTCCCGGGTTGCACAAGGCCTGCTGCCTCAGCAGCTCCACAGGGAACAGGCCAGGTTCCCACACGTTACCTGTAGCTGGAGAGAGGAATGTGGCCCAGCCGGTGTTTTGCCTCTGGTGCCGAACCCATAAAACAAAACTGGAACGGTGGGAAAGGCAGATGCAGGGCTCCAATTTCAGACTTGCCTGCTGGTTGAAAATCCCACACAGAAAGGCGGAAGGAGAGGAGATGCCCTCCGTGCAGGGAGGACGAGAGCAGGAGAAGAAGAAGAACCAATGTTCCTGGGCAACTCTTCCTCCTAAAGAAGTTGGGAGTGGTTGTTGGGGGGCCAGGGGGGGTTGGGGGGGAGGCTTCAGGAAAATGGTGACATATTTTAAAACAATAAATACTAAACAAAAATAATAAATACTAAACAGCTTTCCGTAAAAGCATAAATCAAAATGTGTGGCAAAGGGGTCTAAAAGCGGTGGAGAAGGTCCTGGCCCTCCTCCCTTTCCCTCGTGGCTGGGTTGGGCGTCCACCCCCCCACCCCACAAATGCCTGTCTAGCCGCCCAGGGAGGGAAGTCTTGGCCTTGGCCTTCCCTGACCCAGGGCAGCTCTGGGTCTCGCCTGCGCACCTGGGAGGTTTGACTCCCAAAGGCTCCGTGGGACTGGGCTGCCTCCCAGCCCCCAGGCATCCCCCTCTCCTCTCTCTGCTTTCCAGGGCATCGTCCAGGACAACCGGTGGCTGCAAGAGCAGCTGGTGCAACTCCTGGCCCGTTACGCTGGCCTGGGGGTTGCTGCCCAGTGGGCCCGGCACTACAGCCTCCTCAGGGACAGCTTGCCGCCTGGCCTGGCAGACAGGATGGAAGAGCCGGCCGGCCTGGAGAGGTAGGGAGACAGCAAGCGGGGGGAGGGAGGGGGGCTGGGGGCTGTCCTTGCATGGCAGAATCAGCTACAGGCTCCCTGGATGCCAGGCTAGGAAATCAAAAATGAAGATCTGCCAGAAACGTGTCTTGGAAAGGGACGAAATTGCTGAGTCTGCCTCATTCCTCCACTCTTCCAGCCCCTTGGAGAGGGACCCTCTGGGCGGGGGGCAGGGTGAGGGGTTCTTAGCTTCCGTGTCTCCCAGACCTGGAACAAGGGGGGAGCCGAGGAAGTCCCAACTAGGTCTGAGGCATCCCAAGACGCTTCTTCTGCAGGAAAGGGGGCAAAATGGCAAAGGGCGACACTTGGAGCATAACACTCCATCTTCAGATGGGGAGCACCAAGTTGCCAAGAAGCCGACTTGCAAGGAAAAATCTAGCCTGCTAATTTTCTGCTTGCAGGGGTTTTTTTTTCCAAAACGGCAGGCATTTTCAGAAATAGCTTCTTGACATGCACTTGGAAGGAGGATGCTGTGTTCCGCCGCCTCCTTAGACCGAAGGGAAACAATCTTTGGTGCCCCCACCTGCAAGGCCAGGGTGCCTCCTGGGCTGCCTCTTAATGCTGCTTGTGGCTGCACACAATTTCTCCCACCCTTTTCGCTCTGGGACCTGTTTATGAGTGGAGGGAATGTCTTCCTTCTGTTTTTTTAAAAGAAGCCCCTCCTCCTGCACCCCCCCAGGGACGATGCTTCAGAGCAGACCCCTTGGGACAGCACAAAGGAGGGCTGCTATCGGCTCCCCGTGTCAAGGGGAGACATCCTTTTCTTATCAACCTGGGAAGAGGTGATGGCGTGCCAGGAACAGGTGCTCCAGGTGAGGACTTCCCTTCCCTTCTCTGGCTGTGGGGCTTTTTTCCTGGCTTAAAAGATCCCCTGGGTGTTTCCCTAGTTTCACCAAGTCACTTAATCGGGGCTGGTGGCCAAGGATGCCCTTTCCTGACGTGCCCAAGCGGGGAGACCCCCTCCCCAACCTCTGGGAAGGGCTGACTTCATGCCAGCCATGCTTTTCAAGAACTCTGTGGGGGCCCTGTGGCCCTTCCGTCCACAGGCCCCACAGAGGGGGGGAAATGCGCTTCTGGCGTTGCAGCTTGGCGTGGGTCTCAACGACTGGCTGGCTGAACGTCACCTACGGAGGAAGGAATAAAAATGGCTGTAGATTAGGGAGGCCCAACCGTGGCAACTTGAAGACTTGCAGACCTCAACTCCCACATGGCTGAGAAAGGCGGTTGTTAAAGGAATCTTGCTGGATTTTACAATCATGTGGCCACAATTATTGAGCCACCTGTGAGAGGAGAGCTGCCCTTACCTCTACGAAGAGCCTCCCCCGGGGTTCGAGAGGAACAGCCAGGTTGTGGCTGGCGTCGAGGAAGCCGTCCAGACGCACAAATGTCACCCCGCAGAGCTGGCGCCAGTCGTGCCAATAAACGGAGACCTCCAGCTCCCGAGACTGCAGGGTGAAGGGAAGAAAGATCAGCATTGCTCGGAAAAGGATCCGTTCTCCGACGTCCTGATTGCAGCACCGGTTTCTCAACAGGGCGCCAGATGTACACGCTGTAGTGACGGTGGCCGTGGACTAGCCCCCTGGGGTTGGCCGGGGACATTGGTTGCTAGTCCTCAAGACTGCAGGGCGATGTTGAGCCAGCCTCCCTGCTCAGGGACAAATTCACCCCATCCTCAACTTGCAGCCACAATCGCCTTAACACTTAACGTGTGACTTAACAATGGTCTTGCTTAGCAGTGGAAATGTTGTCACTTGTAAGTCAAGGATGACTCATATAGATACTCTGCTCCAAAGTGGATTGCGGTTTCTTCCTGTGGCAAGTGAGGATGCACACTTACTCGCTCCAACTCAACATCGAAAATCTGGTTCCACGCTTGCCGCCCAACCGGCCCCCAGTTTGTCTGACCCACAACTTTGTTGTCGACCTTGAGAACGGCAAGGACATCTCCTGCCAACAGAAGAAAAAAGAAGCAGGGGTGACGTCGGATCTTTGGGGGTCTCCTTGGGAAGAGACTGTGCCAAGCCCCCTAACAGTACAAGCAGTCCTCCCTTAGCGACCACTGGCACTTATTTAATGACCGCTTGAAGTAGTTACAACGGCATTGAAAAAAGTGACTTGTCAGCACTTTTCACCCAGCTCTTGCCGTACAATGCCATACTGTACAGTACCGTAAGTACAGTACAGTACATACAATGCTGTACATACAGTACAGTACATACAGTGCCGTACGTACAGTGCCGTACGTACAGTGCTGTACAGTGCCGTACGTACCGTCACGTATGTACATTTCTGTACCGTACAGTACAATACCGTATGTACAGCACCGTACGTACAGTGCCGTACAGTACTGTAGTATGGTACCGTACGTACAGTACTGTACGTACAGTGCCGTACGTACAGTGCTGTACAGTACCGTACAGTACAATACTATATGTCCAGTGCCGTATGTACAGTGCTGTATGTAAAGTGTGTGAGTACCATACGTACAGTGCTGTACTGTACACGTACAGTACGGCACAGTACGGTACTGTACAGTACGGTACTGTATGCGTGGTACTGTACGGCACAGTACTGTACGGTACTGTACAATGCTGTACGTACAGTACCGTACGTACAGTACCGTACGTGCAGTGCTGTACTCTACGTACCATCCCATACGTACAGTGCAGTACAGTGCCGTACGTACAGTGCTGTACGTACAGTGCCGTACGTACAGTGCCTTACAGTACCGTACGGAGGCTCATCATCAGGCGTCCCCAGGTGGCAATGTTGACGTTCATCTGAGAAGCTCGGAGGAACTCTTTCCCTGCAGGGAAGGACACCAAAGCCAGCGATGCTCAGCTGGTGGTCTGGGAGGGTCTTCCTGGTGGCCGGCCACCACCCAGGTCAACCTTGATTCTAAATGTCCAGCATTTCTCCTCCAAACTCAATTTGAGTTCGGATGGATGATGAAGTATAAAGTCTCCTGCCTGTCTGGCTGCTGCCGCCGCCGCCGCTCCTCCTGCTGCTGCTGCTGCTGCTCCTCCCACCACCACCACCACCACATCTCTGGGGCAGTGTCCAGGGCTCGTGAGATAATCCGCCCATTGTTCCTCGTCCACAGCCTGGCCAGGTCGTTGGCATTGACATGGAATGGCGCCCCTCGTTCAGCACCATCGGAGGGAAGCCGCGGGTCTCCGTTGTTCAGCTGGCGATTTGGGGCCACGTCTTCCTCTTGGACATGCTGCAGCTGCTCCGGCAAGGGGAACGGGGGGCGCAGGCTGCTCTCTGTGGCTTCTTCCAGACTCTCCTGGCCGACCCAGCCATCGTGAAGCTAGGCAAGTGGCGTCTTGTGCGCAGGGTCCCTCCCGGGAGGGCCCCTTCAGGTGGCCAGCGTTGTTTCAGCTGGAATTAGGCTGCCTCCGCTTTCTGATTGGGACTGGGCTTTCCTTCGGGCTCTGCGGCAGCCGAATCCAGAGGCAAATCCGAGCCGGGCTTTGTGTCTCTCTGCAGGCTATGGGATGTCAGGAGACCTGCGTAACCTCATAGCAACCTGTGGCATTTCCAGAGATGTGGACCTGCAACTCTGTGGAATTCTGGACCTCCAGCTGATACACCAAAAGGTCAGGAGAGAAAGTGGAATTTCTGGCCCATGGAGAAAAAGTCTGCTTTGTTCCCACAAGGAAAGAAACCCCTCCCCCACCCCCCACCCCAGGACTGAGTGGATCAGGCCCTCTCTGTGCCCACCCTGGGGCGCATCAGGGTAATCCTGAGCTTTTCAGAAATGCTATACAGCCTCTATGGCCTGATCTTCTTTGGGAAACCCCCTCCCCTCCATTTTTCAGCCTCTCCAAACCTGGAAATGCAGCTTCCCAAGACTTGGCCCAAATCCAGGGTTAGGGAGGCGCCTGGATGCTGCCTCCACCTCACCTTCCTTCCTTCCTTCCTTCCTTCCTTCCTTCCTTCCTTCCTTCCTTCCTTCCTTCCTTCCTTCCTTCCTTCCTTCCTTCCTTCCTTCCTTCCCTCCCTCCCTCCCTCCCTCCCTCCCTCCCTCTCCAGTTGCCCAAGCGCTCCAAGAAGAGCTGCCAGCCACCACTGGACCCCTGGCAGGCGAAGGACAAGGCCTGGGGGAGCAGGCCACCCGAGAAGGGGCTCAGTCTGCTAGTGCAGGAGGTCCTGGGCAGACCCCTCAACAAGACAGAGCAGCTGTCCAACTGGGAGAAGAGGCCCCTTCGGGAGACGCAAATCCTTTACGCAGGTCTGGCTCCCTTGCCCCCTTTTGAGCTGAGCAACCAGACCGAGAGGGCACCTTAGTGGGGTGCAGTGGCAAGAACCTGTTTCTGCCTCAGCTTCTCTGCCCACAAGTTGACGCTGCCCTACTTCGCAGGGCTGTCATGAGGTTTATAGAGAAGAGAGATGGAAGGCTGAGCCTGACTTGATAGCAGCCCTGACCGTGGTGCCTTTCTGCAGCCTCTGATGCCTACTGCTTGCTGGAGGTGCATGCAAAGTTGTTGAAGGACCCGGCTGCCTTCGGCCTGAGCGCCGATGTGGTGGTGGTGATGAGGAAAGCCGGAGAAAGCCCCAAGGCGAAAGCAGGGAAGCTGCCCAGGGAGCCGGAGGTGTGTAAGATTGAACCCAGAAAAGGGAGGCCTCTGCTGGGTAAGTCGCCCCCCGAGCTCCATCCTGGTGAATCTGTGGGCCGACGCTGGGCTTGTCCCTTGACCAGCAATGTTTTGGGCTCTCTTCCTCCTGTGGGGTTCTTGCGACATGGAGACCCGACGTGGCAAAGGGGATCCGCACCAAGCCCCCCCTTTGGCGAAACGGGGCTAGACCCCGGACGGGCCCATCTCCCCCTGCAGAGGCCAGCATCCGTCCTGGAAGAGGCCCCCAGAGCTTCAGTTGGCATCCTGGTGCAAGACTTCCGCGTGGTCTGCGACAACATGCTGCAGGGCCTGGGGCGATCCCTGCGCTGCCTCGGGGTGGACGTCCGGATCCTGGGGAACGATGAGGAGCACCGGAGGGCAGCCGAGGTTGGTGGCCGTTGGGCCCAGCCTTCTGTCTCTGGCCTCGGATGGGTGTGGGCTCCTCCCAAGGCAGGCGGCGTGGGCCCTACCTTGAGGCTGGCAGGGCGCTCTGGGCTCCGGGCTCCATCCAGCCATCCAAGGGAGGGCAGAGGCCCTGGGGCTGAGCGCAGAGATGAGCTTGGATCAGACCTGGCCCCCTCAGCCATTCCATGCCCTTCTCCTTCCCGGAAGGATCTCTCAGGAAGGATGTCCTGTTTCTATGGAGACCGCGGTGGCGGTTGGCTTCCTAGTGCTGCCAGTCAAAGAGTTGCCCTGGTTGTGGTCTCACGTAGGGGAAGGGCAGAGAGCAAAAGGTTCCCCACTGCTCCCCCAGAAGTGAAGGGTTGCCCAAAGTAAGTCTGGCTTTTGTTGATTCCTTTCCAGATTGCCAGGGAAGAGAATCGAGTGATTTTAACCTCTGGCCTTCCATTTCATTCGGTGAGTGTGCAGAGGGGCGAGAGGACAGTGGGTTCCCGAGCTCCTGGAAAAGAGCCTCCGTAGACCTCTCTCCTGTGGCTCCAGGATTTTCACGGTGTGGAAGCTGGTGATTGTCCCTTCCTCTTTTGTGATCAGGCTGGAATTCCAGCCAGGAGCTTCCAGGCCGCCCTGCAATTCCTCTCCTTCACCAGCTCCTCTCAGTCGCAGTGGGATCTCCAGGCCTCCGGGAACCCCCCTTCCCAACCAGACCCTCCCTCGCTTTCCCACAGCTGCGGTCCCAAGTAGGCGAAGGTCAGTGTTTCTCGGTCAGCTGCTCGGAGAAGGCCAGGGACCAAGCCCTGCAGGTCCTGAAGCACTTCAACGTCCGGGTGGCCCTGGCTGATGTTTTCAGCCGCTGCCAGGTAAGATGGCCAGAGCCTCCCTGCCCTTTCCCAGGTCTTTGGGCTTCTTGCAGCTTTTTCTGTTCTCCTCCTCCTCCTCCTTGTGGGAGGGAGCAGGTGGCCATCTGAAGAAGGCGAGGTCTGCTGGGAGGAGGGCAGTTCAGCCCCACAGAAAAGGAAGGGCTTAGGGAGCACCTGTGGGGGGACCCACTTTTTGCTTGCAAAGCCGTTTCCTCTTCCTGGCAAGGAGGGGGTCCCAGGAGCACCTTTCTCAGACTTGTTCGGCCTGTGGAGGAAATGGACTGCCATCTCCCTGGCCCTTTCCCCTTCCGGTCTCTTTCCTCCGTTTCCTCCTCGTGGCTTGGAGGGGAGGGGAACATTCGCTCTCGGGGCAGGGCAGGGGGTCTGCGGTGCCTCCTCCCTGCGAGTCCTTCTGTGTGGCTGCGAATGGGCCTCAGGCTCGGTGCTCCTTAGTTGCGCCCGTCCCCTTGTGGGATCCCGTACCGTACAAATGCCTCATTTCCATCCTGTCTTTCCGCCAGGCGGACCAAAGCAGGGCAGGGGCCCTTCTGCCCTTCTTATGTGCAGCGGTCCTAAAGCATCTCTCCCACCGGTGGGCTGGGGCAGGAGCTTGCGGAGGGACTGGGGAGGCCGTCTCCTGCGGAATGCAGGCAAGAGCCGGCACCTTGTTCCCAGGCAAGACCCTCCGTCTTGGATGTGGGGTGTGGTGGGAATGGGGGCACTTGAGGACTTCTTCAGCCCCAGAGAGCAGCTCTGGGGTGGAGCCATGCCCCGAATGGGAGGCGAGGGGCTTGCTCAGGCGGGCTCCTTCCCAAAGCATTCCACGCAGGAGCCTCCTGAACGAAGAGGGAGAAAGAGCGGGCGGGGGGGGCAGTTGGACCCTGGCCGGGATCTCACCAGCGGTAGCTGCCTTGCGGAGCGCTGCTGCCTGGTTCCCACAGACGGTCTGTTTTCCTGCCAAGATCTCAGTATCTTCAGAAATCTAGCGGAGCATGAAGGTCACCACTAGGGAAGAAGGACACCCCCCACCCCACCCTGCCTTCTGCTTTTCCCTAACAAGCTCTGGGCTGCCCCCCCCCGGAGCCCGAAAGGCTGGAGCGAGGGGGGCAGGCCCAAAAGCACCCCTTTCCTCCTCTTGCTCAGAATTGCCTCCCTGGGCAGTGGGGAAGTTTGGCTTCCATCTGGCTTCCTGCTTCCTTCCTACCTTCCCTGAGGCCGTCTGAAGATGGTTGGGGGGTCAGAAGCCCAGGTGGGGAAGGCTCCCCTTTGGGATGGAGCCAGCTCTGAGTGGGCGTTCCCCTCTCCGGATGGCCTCCCCGGCCTTTTCTCCCCGGCCTCCCATCTTCCTTGGAGGATGCAGTTGCCGAGAAGGAAGGAAGGTGGCTCCCCCAGCCAGCACTTTCCCATCCCTGGGAACACGGCAGGATCTTCCCTGCCATGGATCCCTCCCCTCCCCCTCCCCCTCCCCCAGTGGGAAGCGGCCCCGCAGAGTTCCCAGGCTGGGAAGGGCGGCTGGCAGGTTCTCCTCCGCTCTCCCCCCCCCCCGCTGGTTATCTGAGGTCGTGGACTCCAATGCTTGCTTGCGGATTCGAACAAGGGCTTGCTTGAATTGGAAGGCCTTTCCCCTGGAGGAGGAGGATGGCCGGGGCCTTGCGGAGAGGGAGCGGGTGCCCTTTCCAGGCACCCCTCCTCTGGGGGCGGACCTTCAGTGGAGCGCCAGTGGGGCTGGGGGCTCGAATCCCAGCGTGATGTGGAGCTTCGCCTTTTTTGGGGGGTCACAGAAGCAGCCTTTTCCCCAGTTGGGCCTTACCGGTCGGTCTGCCCTGAGAGGTCCCTTCTCGGCCCCCAGGCAGCTTCGTGGCTTCCGCAGCTTGCTGGCCCCTCGTGCCCAGGAATCGCGCTCTCCCGGTGGGGCAGACCTGCGGTGCAGCCGTTCCCTTTCGCAGGGGTGTTTTTGAAAAGGGTCTCCCCAATGGTGGGGTCTCCTTCCCAGCAGCAAGATCTGCCTGGCAGCCCCTGGCGCTGTCCTCCCTCCGGGAGATTTGTGGGGGCCTGGGGGGGGCAGAGAGAACCGGGGAAGCCCACCCAGGAGGCCCTGGCCCCTCTTGCGCGCTCTCCCTGTGGGACTGGAGGGGGGGAGGTTGGCAGGGCCTGGGCCAGGCGGCCCTTTTGCAGATGTCATTGGCAGCCGTTTTAATGTGCTGCTGCTGCTGCTGCTGCTGCTGACCTGCCGTCCCCCGGCAGATCTTCGGGTTACCTTCGCACGAGCCCTGCTGGCCTTCGAAGGCAGCGGAGGGGCCTCCTTCCCTGCCCAGTGGGCCAGCCAGAGCCTCTTCATATTTCCCCCAGATTCCTTGCAATCCTTATTTTTCACAGTCTGGGCTTCCCTTCTCTCGCCAGTTTCCCAGGAGGGCTGTTGGAGGGCGAGGATTTCTCACGATAGCAGAGCGGCCAGAGAGCCTGCCGTGCTCGCGGGCCCCACAGTGGGGCTGTTGGCGCTCAGCACTCAGCTGCTCAGATAGCGGGGGGGGGGCAACGTCCCCAGACCGGCTTGCTGAGGCAAAGGTGCCTTTTCTGCCTGCTCCAGGCTCCCTGTTTAGAGCCCGCAGGGAGGAGGGCCGGGGCTGGGGGTGGCGAGTCAGGCGCTGAGTCGCAGGCAGTGGGGTCGGGGGAGTCAGGAGCTGCCGTGCACCTGCCAGGTGAAGGTGGCAGCAAGTCAGCCCTCTGGCTCACCTCAAGAGTCCTGGGGAAGTGGCCCTTCTGTGCCTCGGTGCCCCTTCTGGGGACCATGATGCTGAGCGCTGTCTTCCCGGAACGGACCACGTGCTGAGTTTCCAGGGCCCGTCCCTGCTCCATGATCTGTTTGTGCGCGGGAGAGTTCTCACGCTAAAAATACCCTCTTGTCAGTGATAAGAGAAAACGTGGGGGGGGGCATGGAACTATCCCTGCACTAGGAGGAAAATGCTACTGTGCTGCTGCTAAAAATATGTGGGTATCTCAGACACGGGAAAGGAGATTGGGGCGCCAGTTCTGAACCCTCATCCCGCGTTTAAAGTTGCAGCCCTTCCCCAAAGTCAGGCGAAACCACGCTGGGGGCATTACGGGCATTTTGCTGCCGGCTGCTTCTCTCCCACCAATGCTTGGCAAGGGGGCTTCAGCAGTTATATGCCTGGACGTCTGGCCAATCAGAATGCTCCCTGAGCCCCCAGGGGACTGCCTAGCATGGCTGGGAACACCCCAGCCCCTTTCCTAGGCACCCCCTGCAAGCCCCCTTTCTCCTCTGCTCCCAAGGCAGGTGCTGCAGCGGGAGGGAGGGAGGGAGGGAGGTCGGCCTTTTGGCCTCAGCTGGGAATCTGTGGCAAGCACTGCTCAGCTGGGCACAGAAGGGCATCCCCCTTTGGTGGCACTGCCACCCAGCACTCAGCATCCAGGGCTCAAGCTGTGGGGCTAGGAGCCGGTCTCTTGTAAGCAAAGCAGAGCCCCATTCCAGTGTGTGTGTGTGTGGGGGGGGTGTAAACGGCGCTTGGGGTCAGTGGCACCTGATGGGCATCCCATCTCCTCTGCCCGCTACTCTGCCTGGGGGGGGGCAGGCGCTGCTTTGCAACCGGGCCTCCCTCCTGCATCCTTGCTGCTGGCCTCTGGCCCGGCTGCTGTGGGTCAGATTAACCTCTTGGCCTCTTCCTGACCTAATAATATCTTGTGTCTTAGTTGGAACGATTAACTGGCCATTGGGAAATGCTGAAGATGGGTGGGGGGAACAGACACACAACTGATGACAGTGTAATCTCCCTCCACCATAATAGAAAACCCCAGTTGGGGGCCCGCTGGCCTAGTAGCCCTTTCAGAACCTCGGGAAGGCCCGGCTGGGGAGGTGGGCTCCCCGGAGGACGGGGCCTAGCCTTGGGAGAGCCACTCGCCTGCAGCTGATGCCATCCCAGCCCACAACCCGCTTTGGGGTGCACAGGGACCGAGGCGGCCCTAAGATTTTCTTAGCGCATTGCGCCTCCTGCCCAGGGCCCAAGCCCAGGCTGCCCCGGACCCTCTTTTCTGGAAGGGCTCCTGCTGGGCCTCCCCACGGCCATCATGTCCCCAGCGTTGCCCCTCCCTTCCCCTCTGGGGCCCAGGATAGCCAGGGCTGGGTCCTCTGCCCTCTCCGCTGAGCTGGGAGGCAAAGGCCGGCTATTTCCAGTTTCCTCCCCTTGAACCTGAGTTCAGGAGTCATCCTCAGCTAGAGGGGAGACGGGGGGGGAGGGTGTGCGTGGAAAACCAGGGGCCGGAGCTGCTCCCGTGCAGCATGAAGGATATAAAAGGAACGGAAAATTGCTCCCAATCCGGAAGCCTGGCCTTCCCTGAAATGTTCTCACAGAACCGCTTCTCTCTTCAGCGAGAGTCACGGGAGAGCAGGGCGCTCTGGGAATGCGCCCGGGGGCTTCCCAGGGCCCGCGTGGAGCAGCCAGGGGTCCGATCCAGCCTGCCCCACTTCCATGAGTCCCAGTGAATAGGGAAGGGCCCTCCGCGTTCAGAGTGGGTCTGTCTCAGGGTGTGTGTGTGTGTGTGTGTTTGCGGAATGCGAGGTAGCTGCACGGGCAGGACCCTGCCTGCCTGCCAGATGCGTCCCTCATAGATGGGCAGCTGCTGTACGAGGCACACCTGGCGCTTGGAGGACAGAGGGCTTGGCAAATGCCCAGGCATGAGGTCCGGTCAGTGGGCTTCAGTGGGGGAAGAAAGACTACAGGGCCCAGAGGCTTGACCAAGGTTGGTGGGCTGGGCTATAGGGGGAGCCCCAATCCATCCCAGCAGGGACCCTCCTTGTGATGGGGGGGGGGAAATCTGGTGCGGATGCAGCCAGTGAGGCAGAGGCGCAGACCCTCCGTCAGGAATGCTGCCCCAGAGGAGCCTGGCAAAGGGCTCCCCCCCCCCCAAAGGAGCTGGGGCGGTACGTGAAAAAGAAGAATTAGACCCTGAAACATCCACCATTGACTGGCACCACAAAGTGGCTA